GGAACTGAAGCGAGGCTACTCCATCCTGTTACCTTATAACGAGGAATTCGGAAATAGCTTCAATGTGCTGGGGCCAGCGATCGAGAAATTAGTTCACCTCCATCAAACTGAATGACTCATGAGGTGGTTCGAACTTGGAATGTTATAAAATTTTTGCCGTCGTGGTTGCAAGCAACCTTGGTTAACACCATTATTTTAAATTCCTCTTCATGAGATATCTTCCACTCTGTTGATAACGAAAACCAAAAATCCAGGGATCACCCTGGTTCGATTTCAGTGTAGTCAACGTCATCACCTGACATCGTCAAAGTCATCACGGAAAACGATACAACTGGTGCTCACCTGCCTTACATTCATGGAGAGAGAACGAGTAAGAGTTTTAGCGATTTGCCAGGAGAATCATATGAAACTCAGACTGGAGGGCTTGAAGATCGTAGCACACTCATTCTAACTGTTGGCGTCTTCATTTAGCGTTGCCTGTCATAGTCTCCTACAAGCTCTGCGAATTCGGAAAACAGTCTCTTTTGATCAACAGCGTGATTCGCGCATAGCCGACTTCCGAAGCGCCTTAACCTGGCAAGTCTTAACTGCTGTTCAATCGGTTTCCATTGCTCAACAGTCGCTCCATCTAGATCATACTGCGATCAGATAACTTCCGTTGTGTCAGAAAGACAGCTCGGATCAACTCTCTGACGACGTTTGAGCTTTCCGTACTAGATAGGCCGAGGTGCACAGCCGTAAAGCGACAGTGATGTTACGGATGTTTTGTAGATGTGACCCATTAGCTGTGAAGTAATAGGTTTCTGGCACCAAAGGTAGCGCAGGTATATTGCGCGAAGTTTGGCAGATAAGTGGACCGAGAAACAAACAAGCTCCCAGACGGGGCCATTTTTCTACTCCCAACCCCCGACGAGTTCAACTGCAGAGGACAAAACAATTCACATGGTTTTCCTAACAAACCGGAGCATGTGATTTATCAGTAGCCTTCATTCATTCAGTTGACATCCCTATGCAATGCTCATATTTCATGTCTCCAGTCTGCTGGTCAAGTGTATCATTCATATATACCAGAAGTCTAAGGCTCCAACGGTTCCTGTCAAACATCAGTCCAGTGTTCTCGATATGAGCAAACATGCAGCAAAACACTCGTCATAGTATGGCATCTACTGGTTCTGTGAGACATCTTTACATGGTGGTTGGCTCAAGCCAATGTGGCTGGGGCACAGCAACTTGTTTCCAGGTCCAAGAGCCGGCTCTGAAAGCATCACTTATCTACATGTTTTCGGAAGTTTGTCGTGAGGTTAGGAAGGTACTTTGGTAGGCAATTACAAGATAGCGCTTTCTTCCTAAACTGTGGGGACATCTCATAGTCTTCGTCATCGATCCTCACCGCCGTTTCAGTTTGACGCTTTTTTGTAGATTCGGCTTTTGATTGCATACCGCGTGGGAGGTGGGAGCTTCACGTGCTGGTACTGAGACAAGATGAATTGACTGTCGGTGGACAACTTTATTCACTTGTAATGCGCTACTGGTAAGGTTGCTGAAAATTTCTCACGACCAGTTTCGCCCCTCTTAGGGCTCACCAGGTAGGCGCAGTCCCCGAGTTTCCATCAACCTTATGTTCTACGTGAAACCAAATTGCACGGAATTAGCGAAACATACTCATTTGCAAACAAATTTGGTTTTGCGAGAGACACCTGGAACCCAGCTGAATCTCTTGGTTTCGATGTTATTCATTTGCCCTTTCTAGCTTCTATGGTGACGTCGTTTGTTCACCGGCTAGAGGGCCCTGAAGAAGCCTTCACGTATAGTTGACCGGGTTTACAGTTGTTCTGCCGAATTAGGCTTGCGACCGGAGAGACAGTAGTCCCACGTATCACTTCATATGGCGACCACTTATTAGCTAAAATTTCTAAAGAAGCTAGGTAATCACATGCCTGATGTCGCACTGGATGGCTTCTCAGACCAGGTAAAGTCTGCTGCCCTCATTCGACCGACCTCGAAGGCCTTCTGGGTTAGGGATCAATGGAATATTTCCTTGGATTTACCGTCAGAAATGCGTATTCTGACACAGTTTTCATTCTCGGGAAGACTCCCATTGTTTCTTTAAGAACAATAGAGTGTCAGTAGTCTTTCCGACATTTCATAATTTGGTTCAGGTATATACATAGCACACGCAAGACCGGTCGACAGAGTCAACCAAGATTTAGCAAGCCAAAAATCAACAGTAGAAGGTCAACATATTTCTGCGAGTTGAGTCGGTGAGCTCAAACAGCAAAAGTGACTGTCCCTTGTTGATTCATTATTGGCTCGAACGCCTAGTGGTCACATTCGACTGAGCGCGCGCCGTCATGTGATACAATTATCTTCATGTATCAATTTCCTGGTGCCAAGGGGATAAACTTTGTGTGTCTGGAATAAAAGCATTCTATTCAGATGCTTGTTGGGCTGGTCCAACGTGTGATACCGGGGGTAGCTAATGGAATAATCCAATTGTTTGTGGTCCAACTGTCTCAGACGAGAGCATAAAAAACACGCAAATTGGCAAAAGTGTTCGTGCTGCGAAAACCTCTGTCCTTGCATGGTACAACTAAAAAAGGAACACTTTTTGTATTTGGTGGAGAGTCCCTTAGAGAGAAAAAACCTTACCGCATACGGTGCCTTGTATTTTTCCTATTTTCCACAAAACTAATTGGTGAAACCCGCCGTAGTACTGCTTGAAAAGACCTCTGACAATATGCTAAGCGCGACCAGTATGAAAGAAACGGGGCTTTTCAAAGTATTTGTATTTTTCTATCAGTTTCGGTTGTTGTTCAGAAAGCGAATGAGAGGAAGCGACCTAATTGTTTTCAGCTTCAGTCTCAATTACTGCACAGCCAAATGATATCTAAAAACTGATACAAAAGAATTCAAGGTTTAGAATGTGGAGGTTTTCCCAAACGGTTCTTGAGGTTTCTAGAAGCTCCCCCAAGTCTTCGTCAGCAAGTGTGTATGAACGAACAGGAAAATCCGTTTTTATGGAAGTTGTTTTAAAGTTACAAAACAGCTTAATGAGAGACTTTCCACTGCGATGGTCCTAGGCAAACAGTGTCGAACTTTTTCGTGGTGTTTCCAGAGCGTAGAGAATCGGTAAAAGGCGAATCTTAAGCAGCTCTTCAGGTTAAAATAGGGTTATGTATCGAGAAGACTCCTGTTGTACTGCTCATCTGGTGGTCTGGTCCACTTTCCAATGGTGTGAGAACTTACAACAATCCACATTTATGCGACATCAACATCTTACAGCCAGGTTTCGCTACCAAACGTGTACCGAATACTGCCTACTCTAGAGAAAGTGAAACCAATGGACAAAATTTATTCGCTTCGCTCCGCGCATAGGAAAACTAATCACCGCAGTCCTTGTATTACGTCAAGTTTGAAGAGTCTGTAAAGTCCAGGAGTGAATCGCTGTAGAATAGTTGTTCTTGTGACTTCATGCGATTTCATGTGGTCAAGAAAAAATTTACCTGGAGATCTTACAGGTCACACATCCTCTGCTCTAATCGACCCAGCATTCGAACAAACGAGGTTTGGCCGCGAAATACAATCATTTTAAAACTGATTTGGCCCTAATAGGAAGTATAAGTGAATCCCAGATTAGCCTGCCTTTCAGAGTATTCTTCATTTGAATTTGCTGCACAAAGACCGCCTCATGTTTCCTTCGCAAGTTACTGTACTATGCGAAGTACGTTCAATCTAAATTCAGTTACAACATAAGGTTAACTGAAACTCGGGGACTGCGCCTACCTGACGGGCCCCAAGGAGAGGAAAGCCGGTAATGAATTGTCGGCAGGTATTCAGCAATCTTATGATCGACGTTTTGTCAATAAGGTGCGGTTTAGATTTGTCGAAGAACATTTTCACCAAACTGTACCGCCAGGATTAGACGTAGTGTATCTGTTGAATAAACCCAGCTGGCTTTGTCAGTTGGCTCATAATCAAGGAGCCTCTTTAGTTGTCCGAAGGATTAGACATCTTGATACAAGGGTCGCTTAGCGGATTCCCAAATGTCTCCTCTAACTTACGTGTAACAGCCGAAGGAACACATCTACCGAGTATTCATTGAGCAGTGACTACGTCGTCAACTTCACCAATGCCTTTGAAATGTGTTCATCACCAGGTGCATACATTCCCTAGTGCAAAAGCCGTTTCAACTAACCCTGAACATTTTTTTTAATTTTTGATTTCGCCTAACAGCTAGGTAGAAGTTTATCACTGTGATTCCCTACGTTAACATTTCTAGTGACCTCGGGTTTTTCACACTGTACTGGTTTTCAAAAAAAATCAACTAGAGTATTTGCTGGTTCATTTACCTAGATAACCCCATTTTCTCTTCAAATATATTTCTGGTGGGTTATAACAGTCCGCTTAATCCCGTACAAACTGTTCAAGGGAGCTATCCGGTCGATTTTCGTCATTCACACCAAATTTCCAACTATAGTATCATATGGTTGACATATTCTTGTCGTTCCTTTTGTCCAATCCATTTACCTCTCGGGGCGAAAGGCTGTTATCTAACCGATCTTACATTGCACCACCAGCGATGGCACGTGAACGACCCATAGTTTGTCTTTAGGCTGACACATATGTCACGCATAAATGGACGTTGATGATTACTAGTTTTACACATGTACTTCAACGGCTTGATGGCCGCCATGCACAAATGCAAGAGCCTAGCGTCCCGTTCCTCTTGTAAGTGTGCAACATCACATGCGACCACTGCACCATGCCACATATCGCTCCTGCATTTGTCACTGTTCCCTCTCTCTCCCTTCACCAACACCAGTCAGTCACGTTTAGGTAAACAGTGCTTTCGCACCTTCAGCCATGCACCAGCCGGTTGTGATTGGTTTGCTTTCTGGTTGGTTGTTTCATCGACCGACCAATGGTGCTCCGGGACAGAATGTACGCAAAGCATTAGAGGATGATACGGCTGGATTCAACGATCCATTTGATGAAATCCAATGAGCCTGACCTGTAGTTTTCGCTGTTTGGCGGGCCAAGTAAAACATCGTTTAGCTGGCACTCAACGAAGGCGTTCATCTAGCAGCCATGAATGTAACTGCCCATGGGAAGCGCCCACCAGTATTGTCGCTGAACCGAGTACACATGCGCGCTCAGTATCATGTCAGCGCTCCAATTCACCAACTCGCGTTCGACCATGCCCGGAGAGACTGGGCGTAACGAATACAAATACTGCACTGGGTCCTGATGCTGGACTGGGAAATGCTAACCCTAACATGCACCCATACTTGCTCCCAGAACAGCGTGAAAGTGAACAAGGCTGTCAGACTTTTCATCAGAACCCAAGCAGCTCCCATTCACTATCTGGTCCCAGCAGACAACAACGACCATCAGCACAAGGCAGGCGCCGTGCTACCCAGACCCTCACGTTGATTGACCCTACACAGGCTGACCGGTCTCCGCAGACCCATCGTACGGGCGGAAACGTCCATGCTGCCAACAATTCGGATTATGGCAACACTGGTCAACAAACCCCGTCTTCCGTCCGATCGATATCATCGACTCCACAGGAGGAATCCCAAGCGATTTCTAATACTCGCAGTCAGCAGTCAGCAGAATGGCAAGTACCTTTATAAATTGATTTATGACATGATTTGAAACTGACGGGTTGCTTGAATCTTTTCTGTTGTTCAGTTTCTTCGACGAAAAATCTCTGGTTTTATGAATTTGAACTTGAGATTTCCGAGGCTTTGCACGAGACGTAATCAAATCCGTATTTTTCTTGATACTTCTCTGACTTAAATGCCTGCTCCGTAAAAAGTTTGTTCTCCAACACCAAACATAAAAGTGATACGACGGTGGATGAAATTCTCTCACTCTTCCGTGAGAATTGAGCTGGATATGCAAAATATTGCTTCCAGCTTGCGGTAATAAGAATTACACACACATATCATCGGAAGGCATAGGAACTGTTTTTCCGCCAAATACAGACTTTATACCTTTCTGTTCAAATCAAAACTTTCGGAATTTCAACGCACATCACTCATTGCTCATTGAATTTATCGTCACTTTGAATTTTTATACTAGGACATTGCGGTCTGCGCTGAGTGTTTCTGATGGGTTATCATTACTTCATTGTTCCTATTGATGGCTGCCTCCTGAGTTGCGTTCTGCATGTGGGACTCTCGCGAGCTGAAGTGGTTTTCAAGGTCACGAACGCAGTATTCTCGATCATAATTAGTACACATTGATGAGGAGTGTTATTAGTATGAGTTGCAAAATAGTTCAGTTGAGTCAACTACAGGGTAGCATGCGAGTTCCTATTGGGATGCCAGAACAAGCTCAAAAGTACGGTTTCCCCACCCCCAGCCGCCCCCCCCAAACCAGTGGTTTACCGCAAAACCAGCCCAAAAATACGAAGTGGAAGGTGCTGTTGGCCCTACCTAACTATGTAATAGGTACGGGAATACTTGAAACCTAAATAGTTTGCTCCACTTGCTTTTGAGGACCAGGTTTATACAATAAGTGCTCTGAGGTTCTGTGCATTCGAAGCAAGTGAATATGAGAAAGGTTTTTAGCTGTCTATAACATGTATGCTGCACAGGACTAAGTGAACAGAGTCTCGTATTTCAAATAAAATACAAACAAATGTCCAGTTGTGATAAAAGCTATTATCTGTAGTGTCCAAACTTAACGGTGTGGTAAAACAATAGGGTGTATAACTTATACACTCATTTCCATACCACTGAAACTCGTTGACGGGAAACTCACCTGGAACCCACCTGAATCCATCGTTTATGATTTTCTTTCCATCTGAATGTACTGCATTAGGCCGCCTCATGTCTCATTTGGTACAATACGAGAAGAACATCATAAACGACAAATTCAGCTGGGTTACAGGTGAGTTTCCGGTCGAAAAAATGGCATGCAAATGAGTATATAAGTTGGATTTTGTACAAGCTGGGTTCAAGCAGAGCATAAGTTTGACGGAAAATCTGGGACTGCGCCTAGCTGACGAGTCCCAAGAAGGGCGAAACCGGTCGTTGGCTGTCGAACAATGTTCAGCAAACCTATGGTTAGAGTATTGTGCAATTAGGGATACTTTATGGTTTTCAATGTTCTTCATGTGGTAGCTAGAGCCAAGTTTGCACGACAGATTAGAAATTCTCGATAGTCAGTTTGAGTGATGAAAGTTTTTTTTTCATTATTTTGTGAAGGATTTGTCGAAAAAGAGTTTCTTCAACAGGCAAAGCCCCAACTGGTCGTTTGCAAGTAGTGATCCACTCGCCCAATCCTTGACAATTACATATCAGGTTATAATCCATTAGGAGAGCGACAAGACCAGTCTCCCGAAAACATAGTGCAATAAGCTTAAGAACCATAATTTCCACCTCTATCTATCTATCTATCTATCTATCTATCTATCTATCTATCTATCTATCTATCTATCTATCTATCTATCTATCTATCTATCTATCTATCTATCTATCTATCTATCTATCTATCTATCTATCTATCTATCTATCTATCTATCTATCTATCTATCTATCTATCTATCTATCTATCTATCTATCTATCTATCTATCTATCTATCTATCTATCTATCTATCTATCTATCTATCTATCTATCTATCTATCTATCTATCTATCTATCTATCTATCTATCTATCTACTGTCTGTCTGTCTGTCTGTCTGTCTGTCTGTCTGTCTGTCTGTCTGTCTGTCTGTCTGTCTGTCTGTCTGTCTGTCTGTCTGTCTGTCTGTCTGTCTGTCTGTCTGTCTGTCTGTCTGTCTGTCTGTCTGTCTGTCTGTCTGTCTGTCTGTCTGTCTGTCTGTCTGTCTGTCTGTCTGTCTGTCTGTCTGTCTGTCTGTCTGTCTGTCTGTCTGTCTGTCTGTCTGTCTGTCTGTCTGTCTGTCTGTCTGTCTGTCTGTCTGTCTGTCTGTCTGTCTGTCTGTCTGTCTGTCTGTCTGTCTGTCTGTCTGTCTGTCTGTCTGTCTGTCTGTCTGTCTGTCTGTCTGTCTGTCTGTCTGTCTGTCTGTCTGTCTGTCTGTCTGTCTGTCTGTCTGTCTGTCTGTCTGTCTGTCTGTCTGTCTGTCTGTCTGTCTGTCTGTCTGTCTGTCTGTCTGTCTGTCTGTCTGTCTGTCTGTCTGTCTGTCTGTCTGTCTGTCTGTCTGTCTGTCTGTCTGTCTGTCTGTCTGTCTGTCTGTCTGTCTGTCTGTCTGTCTGTCTGTCTGTCTGTCTGTCTGTCTGTCTGTCTGTCTGTCTGTCTGTCTGTCTGTCTGTCTGTCTGTCTGTCTGTCTGTCTGTCTGTCTGTCTGTCTGTCTGTCTGTCTGTCTGTCTGTCTGTCTGTCTGTCTGTCTGTCTGTCTGTCTGTCTGTCTGTCTGTCTGTCTGTCTGTCTGTCTGTCTGTCTGTCTGTCTGTCTGTCTGTCTGTCTGTCTGTCTGTCTGTCTGTCTGTCTGTCTGTCTGTCTGTCTGTCTGTCTGTCTGTCTGTCTGTCTGTCTGTCTGTCTGTCTGTCTGTCTGTCTGTCTGTCTGTCTGTCTGTCTGTCTGTCTGTCTGTCTGTCTGTCTGTCTGTCTGTCTGTCTGTCTGTCTGTCTGTCTGTCTGTCTGTCTGTCTGTCTGTCTGTCTGTCTGTCTGTCTGTCTGTCTGTCTGTCTGTCTGTCTGTCTGTCTGTCTGTCTGTCTGTCTGTCTGTCTGTCTGTCTGTCTGTCTGTCTGTCTGTCTGTCTGTCTGTCTGTCTGTCTGTCTGTCTGTCTGTCTGTCTGTCTGTCTGTCTGTCTGTCTGTCTGTCTGTCTGTCTGTCTGTCTGTCTGTCTATCTATACATCCATCTATATATCTATCAGCTGATCTGTTCATATAATTTTAACCCGATAATAAGTGATTTCATTTGAGTACGGCCCCCACCGAAGTAAGTAAAGTAGTAAAAGGCATCAGGCAATGTGGACTGCTTGAATCTGGCTCTAACTGTTATATCATCGGATACCTTTCCTGCATTAAACACTATCCAACTCAAGTGGTGCCGGGTGCCTGTAGGCAAACCATTGATGAAGAGAACTTTAGGTGTTTTGGTCCCATTTTACCTGTTGTCTCATTATGCTTTGGGCACTTCATCAGAACGATATTCGTCGTTGTCCCATCTAGATTCGTTTGGGTTGTGAGGGGGAATTGGTAACAATAAGGTGCACCTCATGTGCACCTCTAGCAGGGTAGGGCTGTTAAATACAACTCCATTTTGACCACTCCCGCATGCTTCTGTATAAATAGATGTGAATAACTGCAGATGGTTCTAATAGTTGGGAAAAAGAAGGGATGATCAGTTGCGTCTGGTAGACCTTTTGTACAGTCAAGTCTGGTTCTTCCCTATTCTCCTTGTTGAAAAACACAGAACAACTTCTGAGTAAACTATCCGAAGCAATGAAGGAGCTCGAGGAGCCAGTCAACACATGTGACCGCGTGATTTGGATCCCGCGATTGAAGGACGAGAGGCGCTATATTCTAAGTGCGAGTTAATCGCACTGCTGATCAGCCGCTTGTGACCAAACTGTTGTGTTAAACTACCAGTCAAGAGGTCGCGAGTTCAAGTCTCTCCGGAGTTTTGTGAGATACGCACTGCTGATGATTCTCAATAAGGATGAAAGAGCTGTACAGTGCAACTCGGCTTTTCAGCATTGACTGACTTCAATTACAGGATGAAATCTCGACAAAAAACCGCATCTCCTCACACTACCAACAAATTTTAATTACATGAAGACGTTTGTCTTTCCCGGTTGTTTCAACTTCCAAATGTCAAACATTCTGAGTATAACTCAGCTATAGTATTTCGGAAGTTGTGGTTACCATGGAGCACTGATAACGTTCATCGGAACTGAGATGCAGAAATTCTGCTGTGAAGTTCTAACTGTCTTTTCCTATGAGTCACATGCAAGTCTTTAAACGTTCCAAGGTTGTGTTTATGTACAATGCCTGGCACTCAAACAGAATGCAATTTTTTTTTTACTTACCGGGGGTTACGCAGTAGACTTGAATTTCAACTAACTCAACCAAACTCAGATGTGAGTAGAAAGACAACAGATCATAGAATCACTGGGAGAGAAACAGAAACGCATTGGACTGAATACTAACCGTTACCTGCCGTACATTTTTCATTGACAACTATAAACTCATTTTAAGTTGTTCTAAAACTACTGTAGAATCTACCCAAACAAAGAATGTTTCACAGTTGTCTTCCGTCGGATTTCTGGATCTTTCTATCGTAATCATTTCTGATCATTATTCACCAACTACCTAAAGTGTTGGGCAACAGTGTCATCGATGCGATTAGATTAGCCATGATAACTAGGTAGTCCTCATTCACCCATTATGGTTCTGTGAAAATGTATGTTCCCCGTTTTTTTGGTATGCACTTACCGTTTTCCGTGCACTCTTAACAGATGAGTTGTTACTGTCCACTGGTGAACTGGTTTTTGGAAAAGCAAGGAAAATTGAACGTGGGTAGCAAGGTCAGTAGTAGTGGGTGGGAAAAAATACCTCCAGAACTTTGGTAGGAAAGCATAGGTCTTCGGAAGAAGGTTATATGTTCACTTTTAGCACGTTTTGTTAAACGCGTTTTCTCCGTTAGACTTTGTGATTTTTTGGTTTAGTTCGCTTGCTAAGAAGAAAGTTCACCCAGCGATATAGTTTGCTGGTGAACTAACTTCTATTTTACAGTTGCATCACTGAGCATGTGACGTTATCTACTACGCGCTTTCACGAAACCTAAAAAGTCTGGCCGAAGGGGCATGTGTTGGAATTGGCAACAAAGAAATATGCCTTTATAACTCTCCGGGTTCTGAAATTTATACAGTTACTTCCAGTCCACTGGTAATTGGCCTTATTGCTTTGTATCATCCCGTCCAAGTTATAAAAAGAGTCGCAAGTCGCTGGTCAGTTTTCTTGGTTCGTGAACTGTTGGCATTTGTGGTGCCAACAGTTGTTCATCCGTGAAGGGTTTGACCGAGAGTATCCTCTCCCAAGGTAAAATCAACGTTTAAAAAGGGCTCCAAAGGAGAGCTCTAAAGTGCTTCTTTCTGAGTTATACTGTTTACTAAAGGAAACAACTGTACACGTTAAACGATCCACTTAATGTATTGGTCGCTGTGTTCGGCATCACATTCACTTGTTCGAAAATTCAATCGGATTAGAAGCGTTCAAAGATGTTGGTGTTGTCGCTTGTCCTTGCATGAGTGGACTGAGATGCAAACACTGTTTCACTTTGTGGGCTTGACCGAGAAGGCAAGTTAAGGTTAGCCAAATGCACTCATTTTTACACCAACCTGATTTTAACGGGGGACTCAAGTGAATCCTATCATCCTATCATTCGTCAACGATTTTCTGAATTTGCTGTACAAAGGCCACCTTATCTTTTATTTGTTGCAATAACTGAGATGTCGCAATATATTTTTCCTAAAGGAATGCTTTCCTTAAGGTCGTAGAGTTTTCTGCCACCATGTTAGTGGCGTGCCTTTAGAAAGCTAAACTTCTCATTAACTGACCTAGGTTTCACAAGATTGTTTCAAGGTAAGAAGGCAACGTGTAGTGTGTAGGTTGTTTTACGAGGGATCTGAAGTATTTCCTGGCCCAGCACCAGCCGATCGGGCGTGTGTTGTGATAGTCCACATAGGAAGACCGCATTGATTTTGCTCAAAACTTTGTTAAGGGCGGGGTATCAGCCAGATGGACTGAGCTCGAGATCGCTCAGTGGTTAAAGTGCGGGTTTTCTGACCGCGAGGTCCTTGATTAGAACCCAGTCTCTGCATCTCGACTATTCCTGCATAAGCCTGGGCGACCTGGCAGTATCTCTGCTCTCGGGCTTCCTTCGGGTGGCACGGCAGCGAAAGAATGTTGCAGCTTAATTGGACACCAAGAGGGTGTCACAGCTGACCTGTGCACCGAAACGGTGCTACAGTTGGAAGTTTTTTGAACGCCGGAGCTTCCTGAACAAACCATGGGAGATAAATTTAGAAGGACCACCTGGTTGTATGAGGTTAGTCGCTGGACCGGGCGGTTCGATCGCCCACATTTCATCACCAGTTTGTGCTAAGGGAGTGGACTGATGAACTTTGTAAAGTTAGGCAGCCCATCACTTGAAGCTGTCTGCGGACGGATTAGAAATAACAACATTTATCAAACGCTGTCACAGTTCGGAAGCAAAGAACTGCAATCCGGTAAAAATTGGGTGCATAGGATCACGCGGAGTAACCCATTGACTGTAACCCATTGATTACTTCCTAATAGGAACAAATTGTCTTCCACAATTCCCACTTTCAATTTTACCTTGTAATAAGATGCACAAGGCACATACCACTTAAATAAACATCGCTGTACCTGTAACCATGTCCCATCGATTATCTCGCATCTGTTTACCCGATTTGGTGACTAATCCTAACGGAACAAAACAGTGTCACTGATTCCGTTTTCTCCCGACGATAGTAGTGCGGCTGTTGTTGTATGCAAGACCGTGTCCTGGTAGACATTCCCGGCATAACACTTTGCTGCCAGACAGATTTTGTAAAAATCGATTTCGGGAATCAGCGAAGAAAGTTCATCTTGTCGTGTTGCTGCTGTTTCCGATGAGTTACGATGGACCGAGAGTGGGGGGTGGGTGTGATTGTGCACATTAGTTCGGACAAATAATGGCACCACAAGCCAATTTCTCCTAGGGCGGGGAAAAAAGGCTTCAAGAGGTCTGCAGAATCACGTGACATTACTCGTTCAAAATAATCCTAGATATAGATACCCTCAACTAGAGACAACTGCTTGAATAAATGGAGCTTTCGATTCGCAGGAAATTTTCACAATGATATTGGTAAGACAGTAACCAGAGACCACCTAACAGAGGACAATGTAAACAAAGAATGCGACTCCTCATGACTATTTATCACTAAAGATTGTTGATCAAAATTCTGCGAGTTTGTACAGACTTATAGGTATAACCCGTCTTTTAACCACTGAGTGGTTATCAAGGGGACGGCATCAGGTTGCAGTGCGGTGCATTTTTCCCGCCGAAGCGGACTAGCGACTAAGCAGTACCACAAGATGGTGATGGCGTACGGACAATAAAAATTTGTGGAGTCCGCATGTATCATCTTTCAGAAAAATGTCTCTTTGCACAGTGCTGGACCTTGGATGAATTTTTACTGGGCTTTGTCACGTTTCACATCAAGGCATAAAACTTCAGGCCTGTAAGTTTTAAAGTATCCCCACAGATTGCTTACGGGCCGAATCAAAGCTCTCCTTCTAGAGTTCAGTATGTGAGGGATAAAAATTGGAACGTATCAGGAGGGTTGTAAAATTTCACCACAAAGTTTTTGAGTGAATACGGATGTTTATCCGTAGTCATTAAGTTCGAATCACACGGTTGTTGGTAGTACGCGCATTTCAGACCCCATGGAGCAGATTGGCAACTGGGCATCAAAAGGGTGTTACGGCTGAAAGACTGATTGATGTCCGGTTGATTTCGGCGCAAAAATTTGATCCTTTGTTTATTTGACAAGCTTGTATAACACAAGCTTCGTCAAAGCTGTCTAAGAAAGCTCCACCATGAGGGTGAAGAAGTTAATAGTGTAGAACCTGGATGTTTAGTCTATTCCGGCGACTTCATGTTATTCTGCCTGATTTGCTTGCCCACGTGAAGGTAATTTTAATTCACTAATGAAGTGGTGTCACTAATATCTGTCAGCGGTCTTTTGCAGTAAATTTCCCAAACTATTCACAGGTTCACGTTGTGTAGTGGAGCCCTCTAGACTGTCTAGTAGGGAATATTACCAAGTGGTATGCTTCAAATACCGGCTCATATAGTGCATCTGCTCCTCAATTTCACATCAGTTCACCCAGAATCTGCATGATATTTAACGCTTGTCAGAGTTGCTGTGGCCACAATGTCAATGTCGCACACAAAAACCGTCACAACTTATTCACACCCAGGTCTACTGTTCCCCATTTCCGGGAGTGTCGAAAGTTATTTGCAACTGAAAACAATTCCGTTGGTTCAACCTATTTTTTGATGCCATTTATTTCTGGGTACTCAATCCAAAACAGCTGGTTGGACCGGATTTACAAATTGAAAGCATACTCCTATTTCTGAAACGGTCGATTCAACCAGCTATTCAATGCAACATGATTTTGCATCAACGAAACTGATTCGAAAGTGTAGCGAAATTTTTAAAAGGAAGGCGGTAATTTTTTGTTCAAAAGACGTTCCGCAAGTTTTGTAAGCAAATCGATGTCAAATGGCTTTTCCTTAGCTACACCTCATACAGTAGGCCTATCTGCTTTCTGGCAATCATTCCAGTCAAAATACATTTGAAACTCCGAGAGATGATGACTATAACCCATAATATGCAACCTTTTGCAAGGTGTACAAGTATTTAGCTGCCAGATCTGTTTCACTTTGAATCATTTACCTCAATCACAGATGCGCAATCTTCAAAACAAACGGTAAGTTCACCATTAGGTGTAAACCCTGTTCACAACACCTGTCGAATTTTTCATATCATTAGCCACTGGAGAATGGTAGATTGTTTTTCTCATTAATCAGTCCTCTTCCTCGAGAAGAATCTGAAACCTATGAAGCCACAGTCCTGAAAACAACAAGACTGAGTTTTGTTAGTCTATCATGCTTCATTATTAGGGCTACATTTGTACCACGAGTAAGTCTCAAATCAATCTGGGTGTTCTGCGGCAGTTGAGATAAAGCCGAGAAAAGCTGTCAGTAGCATGCATGCATTTATAATCATTTATAGCGATGCTAGGAATTCATGTGTTCCTCACAGTGAAACGGCAGCATCTACTTAAAAGTATTGTCCAAAACAGGGACGTTCTTCAATGCTTGGATGTCGATTGTGATACAGGCCGGACGAGATGAATATAACTACTTGTGATTTTCTTGCGTCATATGTTTCATTACTTTCTCAAAAGTGCGGTTTACAGATACCCTTGTTTTGTTTCTATACCTTGGGTTCTTATACGTGCTTCGATAGACCGTGGACGTCACCAGAGTGCAAGGTAGTTTACTCAAAAATGTATCGGCATGTTAGGTTGGGTAAATTCCTGAGTTTTTTGTAAAATGCCCTTAGTATTTAACATTGCGTCTCTTCTCTAATCGACCCCTCACAGCAGCCAAAATGGCAGCCGACATTTCTCGCCGCATGTATCTTCAGTCTCATACCGCATGAGTGAATCGTCACCAAAAAGCAACTCTGTTGGTGGTCCACTCGTGAATTCTCATCAAGAGGTGAACACCAAAAGGTCACCAACTGCAAAAAGAAGCGAGGACCACGTGCAGATAATTCCAGACTTCTCAACCCCTGAAGTTGGACACCATTCAGGGAGTCTGGGAAGTACTGTGCCTTATTTCTACGGTGCGAATATGCAAAAAATGCAACGATACTTGGGACCATCTTGGAACGACCTATCAATACATTCAAGTGAAGTAGATATGAAAAGGATGAATATGAGTTACACTGGGTTGAACGAGTTGAAGCCGCAGGAAAATTCAGGCAGTTGCCAAGAAATGCATAGATCTCAACAACTATGTGTTACAGATCACCACAACAACCGCGAAGTTCCCAGTAATTCTTCAATGACCAGTTCTAGTTATTCGCATCAGGAGATCTCTTCAAACTTATCAAATCCTTCCATGTCACCCCATTTTATCAGGCCGAAACCAGTGACTGCTTCCCTTCAAGTACCCTCAGTTAGTAGAGCAAACGGACATCTCAAAACCCAGCCAGCTTTACTGCCAAATACTACGCTGTATGACTCTGCAGAAGAGGTTGCTCCAGTCCTACCAACTCGGAGTACTTCTTTACTCGCACGACAGTGGAATCATCATCTGGATCAGGTTCAGTATACAGCTTCTATGGACTGCGAGGCTAACAGACCCAAAAGAACGTCGTCAAGATCTACCGGCTGTTCTTCAAAATATTTTCCGAACCTCAATAGTTTGGCCTCCAGCAGTCAGGTGGATGAGAATTCTGGATATCGGTCCACACACTTGAGGAGTCGGAGTGAATTGGTCAGATCATCCAGACGGTGTTATGTGAATGCAACTGAAGAGGTTCCCACAATAGCTGAGGTACATGTACCTAGTAATGCCGCATTAGGTAACCAGGAAATGAACCCAACTGAACGGCTGACGGGGAGTTCGATCAATGACCCAGTAGATGGTCCAACACAGTTACCTGAATCCACTGTGATGGACACCGCAAATATATGCGCAACATCTTCATCCAACTCCGAAACCGACCTCAGGGACTTATCTAATCATTCGTTTTCCTTGAAATACCCTGCTATTCCGGTAAGTGTACCGAATAGCCCTTCGTGTGGAGCACTTGAGCAGTTTATGCCGACAAACCATGCGACCAGGCTTCTTGGTCGAATGTCAGACAAACTACGAGACGGAAGACTGGCGGATGTAATACTCCTAGCCGATCGTACCACGGGAACCTCAAAACGATCGTTGACTGAACAGGCTTCAAATTCAACGGGGGATAATGAGATTGAGGTTCCCAAACAACCCATGAGGATCCCAGCACATCGAGTCATTCTGGCTGCAGCAAGCGATTATTTTGCAGCCATGTTTGGTAATGAGCTCAAAGAAGCAACGGAAATGGAAATACGAATCCACGATGTTGATCCGGCAGCACTGCAAACATTAGTCAATTATATCTACACCGGTAAGTCTCATTTATCACTATTGTGTGAGCAAAGAATTTGTGAGTTTAAAATGGTCCTGCAGTCTTCTAGACAAGAAGAAACACTTGTTACACCAAAGTACTACTGTTTTCAGTGTCAAATTCTGTCAGCAGATCAACACGGGAATTCACTGTAGAGGAAGCTAACCCTATATCGCTTATTTAGTTTCTGCATTTCTTTTACCGACAGTTGTTGGTCAGTGCGGCTTACACTCCCGAGAGAGACGTTCGGATGTCTGTGTTAGCACTGAGATGCTAGCTCTTGCACAGTGCGTATGGAATGACAGTCATTTAGAAGGACACGCATTTGCTTGGTGTGCTTGGTAAACGCATTCGCGCTAGTATCGAGGGAAGTTTCTAAATCTGCTGGGGTTGCCGAACAGAATAGTCCGGCTTCTTGCTGCTGTGTATAGAGCCAGATTTGCCTGATTCGAATGTTGAAGTGGATTTGGAATGGGAACGCGTTCCTAGTCATTGCATTATGCAACGCTCGGTTTCACTTATTCGCTAATCTGGACTGTGGGACTGACACTGCGATCCCCGGAGAAAATCGATATAATACACGGTTCAGCATTATTGCCGATGTTAACGGTGGAAATGAGAATGGCCAGGCAATCCACGTGACCACTTCTAAAAATGGGATTTTGTGGATGTCCAGCGATCACAATGGCAGTCTAGGAATCGTGCGCGGACGTAAAGAATCCCACAAACTTAATCAAAAGTATAAACACGATGGCAGATTGAAGTAGATAACTGGAGGTTGCCGTAAGGAGATTTTCTCGTGCGAAACTGGTTGGCCTCCCTTTAAGTGAAACCATTTGTGTAATTTCAGAGCGGTGATAGTTTGGCGAACGACCAATCACCCAGCCACACATCCACCGAGTGTTTTACAGACTTGCCAACCGATTTTCTGGGTGACTACTCACGTTTACACCAACTTTACATGATTAATCCAAGATTTCAATAACTCATTGGAGCCCATTTTGTTTAGTCTCTTTGCCAGTTCGCTTCAAGTTCATAGGGTGGCATGAGGAGCAATCCAGATGGCACTCAGAATAACCGCGTTCACGATGTGCAGCCACATCAAATCCTGATTTTACTGGCTCCGGAAAGCCTGTTCAGGAATCTCAGTAAGTCTTGTACGCTTTAATTGTTACAGTTCAAGTCTACGATATAACACGGGGGGAGATGAAGAATTTTAGCAGCCTCTGGGACTTCGAAAAATCGCAGTTAGTTTGGCCTTAGAGAAGTTTACTTATCAGGTCTGGGAAATAAGACCTATTCCTTAATAGGATTTAAAAAGCGTGATGGCTGGAAAGAGTTTCCAATTGCTTCGGTGTAGCCCTAATACTGTCATTCAATCGATGCCGCCAACGAATTGGTGGTCGGTCCTCATTGGATTCTACTCCGCTAAATTGTCAATTTATCAATCTTTTGGCTCATCAAACCCTCCGTTCAAAACTTTTCATTTGTTGAATCAGACGTCCATCGAAATTGGGTTCTTCAGCTGCACATTGTGAGATAGCGTCCTAGGACAAGTCGTGCCGGTGGATGGTGCGCTGCCTCAACCACATATGTCGAAGTCCAGAAATGTCAGTGAGTCAGTGTTGTTTCCAAATACTAGCCAAAAATGACAGGCAGTTTCTAATCTCTCAGTGGCAAAGTTGCCAGAACGTGATATAACAGTTCTACCCTCGCCAGTCACCTTGAGAAGACAAACAATACCTGGCATCAACAAATACACTCATTTGCCGAACTCACGCCAAACTTCAACTGAATCTCTCGTTTATGGTATTCTTCAACTGAATGTGCTGCACAAAAGCCAGCTCATGTTTCATTTGGTAAGATATTCGAGATCTCACAGTGTATTTCCATAAAGGAAACTACTCATAATGTCGCTGAAAACTCTTTCACAGTTCGCGACCGGTTTTGTTTATTTTGGGTTCATCAGGTGGGCGCAGTCTCCGAGTTTTCGTCAACCTTATTTTCTGCCTGAACCCTAATTGGACAGATTTCGATAAATACACTCATTGGCTTATCAGTTTAGTTGTGACGGGAGAATCACGTGGAACCCAGCTGAACCTCTCTTTCATGGTGTTTTCAAGCAACCGAATACGCTGCGCCAGACCGCCTCATGGTTCAGTTGGCACGATATTCGAGATATGGCGATACATGTATAGACGTAATACGCTACTGATGAGGTTGCTGAAAACACTTTGACAGCCCACGACCGGTTTCGCTCTTCTTGGGGCTCATCAGATAGGCGAGGCCCCCAAATTTCCGTCAACCTTGTGTTCCACTTGAACCCAAATGGGGATTTCAGCAAACGTGTGAGTAGTTTTCTTTATGGAAAAGACACGTGGCATCGTTCATCGGATGTTCCGGTAAACAATATTACTTATCATGGGCCTATGTCGCGTGCCCAAATAAGAACTCGTTTGGGCCATAAACTTCAACCGACAAATTTACTCAGCCGGTTAACTCTGAGATACTGCAGCGTTTTTAATAGTGGTTTACTCATGCATTACTTTTCAAGTTATTCCTCCTGAATAATTTTTTTAAATATTTATTTGAACCTACAACTTGTCGGATTGCACAACATTGTACAAATAAATCACTGTTGTTAAATTATTTGACGGCAATCTAGATTTTCAAAAACATGTGCGCGTTATCTAGTACACATGAAACAAAGGTCAGCGGTCATCGCGGTTTGCAAGAATGAACTTTAGAGACCTCTGCTGGTCACATGTGGAACAGGTATAACAGTGTTGAACTATTCTGATATATACACATGTTAAACGATTCCGTTGTGGCTTTCTGGTTAATGTAGATTGTCGTGGACCGTACCTAGGCACATTGTTGGGCGAATCACTAAATCATTACTACTTCATGAACAATCCGCCGTTTTCCCGATATGGCACGGTACTTATATGGTAACTAAAAACCAACGACACCACGACCGGTTTCACCGCTATTCGGGCCCCTGAGTTTTACCATGTTCTACTTGAACCAAAATGGTATACAGTTTGCATAATACAGTCGTTTGCAAGCTAAGTTGGTTTCGACAGACATTCAACTTAATCCCAGATGAACCGCGCTTTTGTGAGTCTCCTATAGATTCCAAAGTAGTTTGTTTTGTTAGAATCGTAAAACTTTCAACTTCCGGCTCAAGTGCCAAGTGTCTTTCCAATACATTCACTGTCGGCAGTTAGCGGTCGCCGACGTGAGAAGCCCCATTTTACTGGGTTTAGCTTGTGACATTCATCATAAGATTTTCAAGAAGTCTTCAAGCAGTGTTGTCACTGAAAGGGCGCACATGCTAAGTGTACTCTGATGAACGGCACCCACGTGAGCATGGTACCACTGAGAACGTAGCTTGGCAAACAAGTACTGGAGTGGGACTACGGGGGTGCTGTAGAAAGGAACGTGTTTGAACACAAAAATGTTCTATTCACGGGAGTGATGTCTCCCAGTGGAAAGTGTAACCAATTAGAACTTTCTGTGGTGCGAATCAGATTGCGTTTGATTCGCCACACTTATCGCTAAAATTCAGCTGTAGTATCCTTTCGATACCCAACTGCCATGTTACCGAGGATAGAAACACGGGCTGGGATATTGCCAGGTTGCTCAAATCTAGACAGAAGAAGTCAGAGGCAGAAAGTCGGGCTCGAACCACCGAACTTCCGGTCAGTAAATTTGCACTCTAGCCACTGACCCATCCCATCCCATCCCCATGGCTACCTGAGTGGAATGAAATTTTACGCTTCAACCGGACTGAATGCTTCTAATGCTCGGTCATTAGCGCAACCAACCTTGACATTGGTCTTCAACTTCTTTATCCCGCGTTAAGGAAAGTGAATACTATGGATAATTATTGGTTGTGTAAGGAATACAGACAAATATACTTCTACTGGAAAGGAACCATTGCAGAACCAATGCTTCGTAAATACCGACACATCATACCATGTTACAGTTCCGCTATCTTGGACTGACCGTTCTACATGTGTCAGACCATCGCGGTTCGAAAGTTGGTAACGGCAAGCAAAACACCAAGGTGGGATGGTAAACATTGCTTTGAAATTTTATACTTTGTTGGTACAGTTATATGGGAATAAAAAACTAGTCAGTACACCAAGAATGAACCAGATTGTGGATTTTGGCCGGCAGTTTTGTTAATTTTTACTGTGACTTGGTGTAGTGGTGTAGCTGAAGTCAATAACGTTCAAACGTGAGGGGTTTCCTCTGGTTCTTCCTTTGTTGCAAAATTCAATTTATCGGAGGATTTTCCTTGCGGTAAATGTGCAGTACAGTATAGATAACTGACCTCTATATCTTGATGGTAAGCTAATTTGCAACACGCTTAGTTTGTGAGCGCTGTACTCGAAACTACTTCAGAGTGGGTTCTAATCATTGTGATTTATGTACCAGCGTCGAAACAGACCGTTTTCTTGCTTTCATGCAACCAATGGTTGTTTTTGTGTATATAGGTCAAAAATCGATTGCTTTCCTTGTCCTGTTCCCAGAATGATCGATGCTTATACCAAAGTGTTTTCATCTTGTGGCTTCCTAACCACATACATAATAGGAACTAACCATCCATTTTTTGCGCACCCTTCTGTTCATTGCTTAACTGGTAAGGTCACCACCGCGGACAACAGTGCAAAAAAAGAACATATTAGATGGCGTCCTGCTGATACCTGCCACATACGATACAGCCTGTTTGATTGATATGTTGAACGGATTTGTTTTTTTTCTTATGCTTCTCGTATGCGAGCCAAAACCAAACTTGTTCCATCTGCCGAGTTTGAGCGTCAGTGAAGATAACATTCTTTCTTGTTGTTTGCGCCTACTTTGGACTAAAAGGCATTAACGCAATACGTGCACCATAACATAAGTTGAATAATATTGCCAGACCAAGCCGCTATTGTAAGGGTGGGTACTACTGATGGAGCGTGTGAGTAGTATGTGGTTTTTTCATAAGTCCGTTCCGCATCTATTAGAAAGTGAGATGTATTAGGGAAATTGTGGAATCGCTTTGCAGCATTCGTTTATGCTTGAGCGATAGTAAATGGTTATCCAGGAAAGTTCAGGAAAACCTGGTCAAGAAGAAGACGGATACACAGTTTTTATAAACGGGATGCATACGAAAGTTTTACTTTCCTTTCCCGTAGTCTGTAAGTGTTCAGTTGGTGTTCTACAGTAGATAAGCCCACAGCAAATGCCGTTTTCATTTCACTAGTATGGTGACGGGTTTTTTCCACTTCAGGTGGAACGTAGAGTCGACCAGTCGACTGGTTCACAACCCCATAGGAAATCATCCTACATGGTTGATCATTCAAATCACATGGAATTCAGCTGGTAACTTTAGGTTTTGTTGACAGGAATTTAGCTATCCTTCGCCTTATTATATAGACAGCCGTATCAGGGGCAAGCATCGGCTAGCAACTCGGCTAATCACTCAGCAAACTCATTGAATACTCCTCACGATAATTCAGAAGCACTACTGGCTGTTAAATACTCCATTGTCTGGTCAACCAGAGTTTGGAGGGATACATCCTTAAGTGCTGAGGACCATCCTTCGAAAAGCCACTGGTGAAAGGAAGAAGGCCCTTGCTGGGGAGTTATCTATTGAGGAACACCAACTGAAAAGTTAAAGACTATTGGAAAGGGAAGCAAAACCCTCATGCGTGTCTTGTTTATAAAAGCTGTGTATCCGTCTTCTTCTCGACCAGGTTTTCCTGAACTTTCCTGGATAACGATTTACTATCGCACAAACGTAAACGACCGCTACAAAGCGATTCCACAAATTCCGTAATAAATCTCACTTTTCAGTAGACGCGAAGCGGATTCACGAGAAAACCACCTACTACTCACATGCTTCATCAATAGCATCCACCGTTACACCAGGTCACCTACGGCCATCATATAGGCTTTGTGACTGAAAGGCGGTGAAAATCACTATCTTCATGTACAAAGGAGTCAGTTTAGCTTGTCGCTATGAGCTGTCTATAGACCGTCAGCAAAAGACAGCAGTGATTTTGTCACATATTGAATCCCAGCGTCCGTTAAAACGAACTAATTTCTCTCGTCCGGATTTATCAGTTGACTAAAAATACAACTATTCCTTGGTTCGCCAGTAGAGACAAAATGGGCGCCTAAGACTTCCTAATGTTTCGTGCGAGCTACGCATGAACAGCATGCTTTACTCTTGTTACCCAGCAGGCACCAAGTGATTGAATTTGGTTGTTTTGTTTGGTTAAGGGATAGGGTTCTTGGGAAATTAGATGTTTTTCCCATCCATCTCCTGTTTTTGGGACGGAGACTGGCCTTTTCGAAAACAGCCTGTTCCGGAGACGTCACCTCTTTAGTGAATGTATCGAATAGTACTATAAGGAGGCCATGAACGATGCAGGTCAGAGTTGCATGTTCCCCTTAGCACTAGCGTTGCGTCTCCATTGGCAAAATTGCCGGCCGAAACACAAATTTGCGACTGGTGTCTTTACAAGATCAAAAGCTGCCCATTTATACAGAGTTCGTTTTTTAAGAAGCAGTCCCTTTGTCCTTCAGATAGATATCAATATCCAACGATGCTTTATAAAGACAAGAAGACCACTCTAGAAAATACTGATTGAATATTGTCCGACAGACATGCAAACTGGTTTTGCCAAACGGTACAAATTCTGACTGAATGTGAGTCACAGTCGTGACCCTCCGGTGGAAACGTTTTGTTCCAGAGGACAACTTTCACTTCGCTGAGTGCTTCCCCACTGTCATGCTCCGTCGAGGCAGCAAACCACAGTACTAAACAGAATTCATTTTCTAACCCACGATGTGATTCGTTTATTTGATTCCACAAAAGGATGTTAAAATGTCAGTACCTTGTCATAATCTCCTGAATTTTCTAGTCGACAGTCGCCTGAACACAGCCGGTATCACCGGTGAAACCGTTGCTAATAGAGATTCTCCCTAGATATAAATTTCGATTCAAAGGTGAGTGGAGGCCACAGTTTAACAGACTCAAACAAATGCAATAGCAGTGCCAGTGGTCCAGTTCAGACGGAGGATTAACCTTGCATCCGAGGGGACGTCACTCGCGTAGCCAGTCAGAACGTGACCACGTGATGTGGTTCTCTCATTGAAAGATGATTGGCAATAATTCCTGTTCGAGTGCGAGTTAATAAAATTCAAGGTTCAAAAGTGGTCAGCGAGAGTGGCACATGCCGCTGGAGACGTCAACCCAGGATTCAAAGTTTATTTCACTTTTTTTCGTCATAAAAGTTTAACCAACAAATATGTATGCTGGGCAAACTATGCATGAAATAAAAATTGGCCCAAAATGCTATACGGTTGCGAACTATTCGCACATGTTTTTATACTGAGCCATTGGGTAAGGTTGACTGGAGCTCATTCTGTTTAATTCTGTCGTTGAGATTAGCTTCTCGAAGAATGAGTCTGGTGTTAAGACCTTAGAATCTCGGTAAATATCCAGCTATACTTTGACAAGGTTTTCTTGAAGCAATTTCCCATCCCTTCCAGGGTTCCTTGATTTACGGGAAGACACCGTGGAGGATATATTGGAGGCTGCGTGTTTTCTTCAGATGCCGGAAGCATCACAAGCGTGTGAACGGTTTCTGATCAAACGGTTGCATGGTAGCAACTGTTTGGGCATGTCTCGACTTGGAGAACAATACGGATGTCGACTACTGCGTCACAAAGCAACTAAATATGCGTTGGTATGACTTTTCTCGCATTTTTGCTCCACTTTATAATGATTACAGTAGACCGTTTTATTTATCTTTTAATGAGTACCGTTCATGGCTCAGGAAAAATCTGCTTTCTTCATGACAAATGTCTGGGTTCTCTTGTTATTTTAAAACAAAAGTCCCCCAAACCGTAGTTTTACAGTCTTGAACTTCTGAGACAGTAAGGTATGGCTGCCTAGACATCGGGATTTAAAGAGGGACACCACTTTATCAGATATCCTGGAACACTGTTTTCACTACTTGGACTGTTACTACTGTTCAATGAATAGGTTTAATAACCAATCTCTAGGGCATCAATAAAAGTCCACGGCGATATATGGGTTCAAACAGGTTTAGAGTTTTAGGCAGGTAAGTACTCACTCCTTGCTCAATTACTTTATTTCCTTAGACCCACACTGGTGCCGGAAGCTTGCCGATGTAGCTTTCGGCAGTGCGCAGTTAACCAAAGAATGATACTCTGTTGGCCAGCAAACTAGTCTTCTCATTCACTCACAGGCTAACTACTAATAATAAATAAGCAGTTTGGTTTGGTATACTGTAAACGAAAGTTCTACTAATGTGTTAATCCAGCCCGAGTATGGGTGAATATCAACTATTATGTTAAAATGGTCTTATGTATAACTACGTGACGACACGAGACAAACAGCTTCAACTAAAAACGAACCTTCACTCAAGGGTTCATGAATATCTTTCAGTGTGTGATTTCCACTGATGACTTAAATCTACTCCTCTTAGTTCTAATGGCTATGGGACCCCGAATGAACAACACTATTATGTTGGTATGAGCCCACAAGTGTCTGGTCAAAGAAATAGAAGCTGACGTCTTACAAAAGAACGCTTGGATTGTTCATGTTTTTTACTCCGAATTATGCCAACACTTTCAGTGTTGGGGAGTTTATAGCTGAAATGGATATGAACTGTTTTAATCAACCAATGTTGAATGACGTTTCACTTCCAGAGGCTGGCTGCTCTTTAGGATAGCGCAACATACAACCAGATCAAAGTCGGTTCACGATGGACCATTTTCGTTTTGCCCTGTCATCTATCTGTTTTGACCACATTGAAGCGGGTTTCGACCTTTCTGGTAGCAACAGTTAGAATAAATTTATCCCAAAGTGACTGTTTTATTTTTTCCTTTTCCGGAACATAAAACTAGGAATGAAATATTTATAACTCTATCCTTCCATCTCTTGCCACAAGCCAGGTTTCCATTTGATATGCGGGGCTTATCCCCCCCAGCAAATTATTGTACACAACCGGTCCCGTCAGGTGGCTTTACGGCATCTTTATTTCACCAGACTAACGGACTTAATCGGACTGTTTCCATTGAATTAGGGAACCTAGACACGAAGATCATCTCTCATTTAGTGGTAACCTATCTGTCTCACACTTTAGGTCACTTGCTACAATCTAAGATAACCTCTCATGTGAAATACCAAATTATATTCCCGAGAAGTCAGACAGAAATGTTTCTTTCCAACACAGTAGGCCCTGATCTGCACTTACCCTACTCACATTAGGTTTGACTTGGTGTTTAGTTCATTCGATTCTGCAAACGTTATTCTCCAGGAACATTTTACAGAAGTCGTTCAGCAACCGGACTTTCTCACTCTCTCGGTGACGGAATTGATGGAACTACTCCGTTCAGATCACCTCAAGGTTCCAAACGAAGCAGCTGTATTCGCAGCTTGTCTACGCTGGATGCGTAACACTCAACGGACTCAGCACACTCCACCACAGAACACGTCAATATTAAAAGGTTTATTGAACCTGGTTCGATTACAGCATGTCCCAGCACGTCTCCTGGTTGGTAAGTTCATTTTGTCTAGTTTCTTTTTTGCAATTATACTCAGGTCTGTCAAAAACCACCGTTCAAGCGATGGGATAATAACGCTTTCGAAGGCACACCTGTGTATTCGTTCATACAGTAGGTGATAAGTGACAGGGCTTTTTTAATCATGTTTTCAACTGCTCTTCGATTGCATATGCATTAGAATATTGCGATTTGTTTATCATTCACGTTTTTATCAGTAATATTCTCAGGATGATCTGTAATTCTGGTTGGTGATTTCCGGTTTACAAACTGAAAGCCTCAACAGTGTCTTAAAAATTGGAATAGGGTGTATACGGATGCTGTGTATCCAGCTAGATACCTTCGGCTGACAACAGAGGTATTACTACCGATATTTAGTACCATGCAGGTAAGCACTATTGGGAAAAGTTGGGTTTGCATTGAGGATGAATGTTGAAGGCACAAACTGTTGGATCTGCAGAAGAATTGGTGGATAAAAATTACAGCATAACTCTTGTGCTTTCAAACAAAAAAGTTTGGGATTTTATTGGCGGTTCATCAGATGCTCGTTGATCTGTTCGCTGAGCTTAGCAACTGGCTTGCAAACGTTTCATCTACAGTCGATGAGGAACCGTCAGTTAAGTGGTTGTCTACTCCGTACCTAGCTGCGATCTATAGTTTTTGAAGAGCATCTAATATCCTGTAACGCTGTTGGCTAATCTGTACATACATTTTTGTAGTATTTTTGGCCCAATTGTGGTTTGCGCTGTGTTCTGTTTTGTAACCTTGTATCCAGTTAGTTGGTTGGACAGTTGTTTTGGGGTGTTTCAGGTGCGTTTTTCGATTGGCCCGTTCCAGATCCGTGTTGCGTTGTGGTCTTGCTTCTTTGAGTTTGGTTGGTTGTGATGATGGTAGTGTTTACTTCAGTCTGATTAGCCACTTGTACTTCCGCACTCGATGTGGGTTTTTTCTTTTCGTAGTGGCCAACTTCGTTACAGTTGGACGGTCGATTTGTTGAGTTGATCTTTGCCCTTCTCCAGTTTGTCGGTTCGATGGTTGTCCGGGTCAATCATGCTACTACAGGAAAGGTATATGCAAATTAGCCAGTCACGTGGCAGGATATTAGTTACTCTTCGAAAACCATATAAACACAGCTAGGTATGGAGGAAGCACCTATTCAATTGCGCACTGTCGATGTCTCCTTGACAAGAGATGAAACGTTTGCAAGACCATCGCCAAGTTCAGCAAACAGATCAACGAGAATCTGCTCAACCACCAGTAAACACCTCCGGGCTACCTATATTTCGACCCATTGACAATTAGGGGTTTTATCAATTATTATATCACTGTGTCTGAAAACCTGCTACAGCAACCGAGAGGTGGAAACGTCTTCTTCGGGCAGCTTGAAAATGCAGCACTGGAACAGTGAACCCAAATGCAAGGTCTGGTGGATAAAAAGTTCAGGATGAGGGTAAAAGGTACAGTTGGATAGCAGAAAAAGCAATCGGCTGGAGGTCATCCGGGACGAATGATGGCTACTTCAGATAATTCACCATGGATGACCCGGGAGTCTCAACCTAACTAACGACCGGATTTGAACGATTTGTTAAACATACTTGAATGGCCGGAAGATTTGCTTTTCAAAAGTACGGAATAGTGAGGCCACTTCATGAAAACATCAAGCTTGGTTGGCAGGGTCAACTGAGCTTCAGCAGTGCCGGGCCTGTAATCGAGGAACGCGTCACCAGTATATTCACCCTGCATTAAAAATAAAGAATATTTGTAAAAGAAGAGTGCAACGATTGATGGAGCTGGAGAAAACGGTCATTTTCGCCTTGGTCCTATTGTTGAAGAGTGACAACGTATAGGTCTACGTATCCTCCTTTTGCCCCAAAGGCGAATTTATGATATTTATATTCCCATCTATCAGTTGCAATCTCAGAAGGTTTTGAGAGGGTGAGTACAAAGAACCCTTGCTTTTTTGCATTTTAGATGTTCTCGAGAAGGAGCCATTATTTCAGACTGATATGGAAGCGACTCGGATGCTTATAACCGCGCTCCGGTTTCAGCTTTCTCCCGAACCCAAGCCAGCATGGATGATGGATTCTAAGCAGTCGAGCAACGCTGCATTGTGTAGCAAGGTCAGGCTAGGTCTTCGAGATGATTACCGACTAGAACAACAAGGATCAAGTCATGGAATTGTTTCATCATACAGTCAGCTAGAATCGTCTTTGTCGCATGCAACTAGCGAAGCAAATCTACCTACAAGACAATCTCCTCGCCCATCAACCATCGGACACTTATGGGCTCTGGGAGGGAAAACAATGACCACTACACGGGCTCTACAGGAAATATTAGTAAGTTCACACAACACCCTGGCTCCGGTTTGTGAAAATCTGTTTCAAGACTCTGATATCTAAAAATATTGACAGTAATCGTTCAGATGTAACACCATATCGGTGGCTAGCTTCCATGCAAATAGAACGAATCAAGAGGCTCAGCTACTCTCAGGTTGCACAAGTTTAGACAAGGATGGTCGAGATACCGAGGTCGGTTCGAACTCCAAATCTTCCGGTCTGTAGTTTGCGTCCTAACTACTGAGTCACCTCAAGCTCTGATATCTTCAGTTGAAAGTCAAGTAAAAGTTGTAGCTAGCCACCAAATACTGTGAATGGCCAATTGTTTAAAGGAAAAAAACTGATTTTCATACGTACACACTTTAAAAGACGATGATGATAGTACACAACATCGTACTTGCTACTGATAATTTTCTATTTCGCTGAACGAGTTGGGTACTTAAAAACGCTTTGAAAGCCTATTCTAGTGAGAATTCGACTTTCAAAGACAGTACGTTAATTACTTAGCAAGCTTGCGGAACCGTGTGCTAATATTATGCTGCGTAAACTTTTGCCACAGGTAACGGCATTAGTTCGAAAATCGCATCTGGTGGAATTTCTGCAGGTGGGCTCAGATCAGCGCCGGTAGCGCTCGTCTACACACACCATTGTCAACAACTCTAGTATAGGTAAAAGGCCGCGAACGCACGAGCTTTCAGGAGACAAGCGTGTTTTTAGGAGTCTTACCACTTTTCAGATGAGCTGGTCAGCACATTAGACTTCGGAGGCAGGATAATTCATTTGGAAACAAGTCGGTGAAGCCTGAAAGAACACTTAGATGAGGAAATTTCGGCCTTTCATCTCCTGTGGATGCAACATCGCTTGGTCTGTTTCACTTATTCCTTAAGCAGCCTTGACACTCTTACAGACGTCATGCTATAAATGCTTAGTTGACTACACACTACGGAAGCTTCAAGGAGGAGCTCTGAGGGACTTCTGAAAATCCTGAAGGTGGTTCATGACTTTGCGGCATTCCCTTGAATTCACAGATGGCTAGAAGGTAATTTGTACGTCCACTACATTGTGCTAAACAGGGTTTAGATGCTTTCTACCAGTAATATGGGAAATTACTCAGGGAGAGATTTGACGGCCAACTCAACAGTACCACTGTAGAGAAGTTTTACTTTGGAACATCCAACTATGAACAACAAAATATTGAGTCTGAAATTTTTGTCGTACATCATACTCGAGTACTGCTATGGATTTCTACCCAGGCTGAGTAGAAATGCCTCACTGACTGAACCGGATTTTTATCAAATTTCCCCACATCAGGAATACGATCCATACACAAATCACTGGCGAGTGGTTGGACAGCTCCCCGGTCAACGTCAACAGTGCGGGTGCATTGTTTTAAACGATGGACGGCTACTCGTTGTTGGTGGGCGGGATGAGCTGAAAACGTTGAGTACGGTAGAGTGTATCTACACAGAAGAACTCTCACCTCAGATGGAGTCACATTTGACGCGATCGGTCACACTCAATAGAGATGATCGTGATGGAGGCTGGCTTGCCGGAGAATCCGCAACCTTGTCCCGGAAAAGTCACCAGCTATCTACCGATAGAGATCCCAATGCGATGACAAGATCGGTGATCGATACACGCACCGACGCGAACTCCACCACGGAAGTGAAAAATCCATATCCTCATCAACAACAGCAGAAAAACAACGAAAATAATAACGAGCATGCGGCTGGTTGGCACGTTGTTTCGGCTATGGCAACGCACAGGTATGTAAAGTGAAGTATCGATTCAGGCACAACTTCTGTTTACCTCCTCAAAACAGCAGTAATACAAGATTGCTTCCTGAGATACCAGAACAAAAGACTGTGATAATTAGGCAACATAAAAAGAGTAATCGTGTTTTTTGATTGTTTGGTGATTAGAATTTTTCTATCAGAATATCTGAGGCAATTGCAATGCTCACACACTATACTGGACATCGTTTGACTTTTATATCAATCATAAAAGTCAAACTCATATCAGTCATACCCATCTGAAACATCCAGATTCCTGTGCTGTGTACACTGCTCCGTAGGGGACAAATCAAGTGGACAGGGCCAATTGCCGCGGAGCGAAATCGCTGACCAGTAAATGTCAAATTGGTTGTTCGCATCATGACCCAGACACAGCACATCGACACACCAATAACCATGTGATTCTATTTCGTCACGACATAACTTGTGGCGATGTTGCACAACCTAGTTTTGCAAAAAATGATCATGAGTCATGATAAGTCCTATCCCAAATAGGTGCAACTCCTTTAGAAGCTTCTGTAACGGAGTTTCCGGCCATCCACATCTTACTGTATAAGTCTTAGCCTTAAAGTTAAACAAAACATCTTTTCAACTTCTGACCATCCCTTTTAGGGGATGTTGCTGGAGCAAGGAAAAGCAACCTTTTGTAAAGCCGTCTGTCCTCCGATTAAAGCTTTAGCTCAATGCTCCATAAATGACATGTGGACAAGAGTTTATTTCCAGCAGAATATAATCACGTAGGTCATCAAATGGACCGTGAGAATGGCTCATCCACAGACCCATCATTATCTTCTGAGGCAGAAATATGATACTCGTTTGCATCGGGTAAGTGAAATTTAAGAAGATGATTGGATCCTGTGTCTTCAGACCAGAGCTGTGTAATGTTCACATGAAGACCATAAACGTCGTTCCTGGCCATGGACCAGCATAAGAGACCCCAGCAGTTGGTAGTGTGAGGGAATTTGGGATTTTTGTGGAGATTTCGTACTGTAAGTGAAGCCAATCGATGCTGGAAAGCCGAGAAGCACTGTGCAACTGTTTCATCCTTATTGGGAGTCATCAGCAGTGCGCATCTCACGAAAATCCGAAGGGTCTCGAACCCGCAACCTCCCGGCTAGTAGTTTGAAGACTTACGGGACAAAATCTCCACAAAAGACCCCAGCAGTTTTTGGTATGAAAGGTTTTACGTAGAATGCTTGGCTTATTATAAAAGGTCGTAGTTGATTAGCATTTTAGCCACATTGAAATTTATCGACAGGTATGGCCAACAAATCAGTGCCCTTCCAGTATGTTTTGAAGCCATTTCACTAGAGACCGTGTAGCACTAAAGGGTGACACTTCCTCCCCAATTCTGCAACACGAGGCGTCACAGCCAAACATTCGTAGGAATTCATCAGTCCAGAACAGCCGTTAGATTATAGCACAGGGGTGTACTGTGATACAACGAAACTTCAGTTTCAGGCGGGATAAAAGTATCTTCCGATCGATAATCTAATCAAAGCTGTACTGTACGCACATACTAGCCTGTCGTGCCACTAACTTTGCGTCATGCGCAGCCAGTTCGTTCGACTTTCTAAGATTTTAGACGCAATTTGTGCGTCATCAGCGCTTCAACTGCTTTCGCCAGTCACAGATGGACAAATGTCTCACGGTAACAAAGGTCAAAAATCAAATGTCATTTGGGATCATTTTTGAAGGTTTCACCAAAACCTCCTTGTTCACTTGGTTTCTCTTTGCATTAGGTATTCAGTAACTTACTTCCTCTTGTTTCCGGTGGAAACATTTCCTTGTTTTGATCACGTTTCTTCTTCCGCCTCTTTATCTCATTTCGCATTTCATTGAACCTGGTTAGAATTCAGTCTATTTCCCTCCAAACGGTGAGTTTTTCGAGCCAAAGGTCGTGGATTAAACTCGACCGGTTGTGCAGTGTCGCATAAATGTTGTGGCATGGAAGCAGTGTTTTTTATCGTCCACTGTGGTATACTTCTAGCACAACGGGTGCACCTGACGGACAATCTGATCTGCTAAAAAGCGTCTCCAATATTGTTTTCCGAAGAAAGTTTCTCCTAAAAGGAAAACAACAGGAGTCATTTGGCGAAAAAGCTCGAAGTTTCCAAAATCGTCTCCCGTACAATGCTTTTCAGGTTGAGGCTTCTCGCTCAGGAGGGATTTACATCAAGGTATATAACTGCCAAAAGGCCTGGGACGCTAGCTGGAAAATCGATGTCTAGTCTTCAAAAGCCATGCTTTGATTTGGTGTTGTGCGCAGCGAATCATTTTCGTTTTGTCGTAGCCTAATGTCCCACAAGAACACGATTTTGAAAAAATCCTCACGTATTTACTTGGCTCATTTCTTGGAAGAGTGTTTGTACCGCCTTTTCAATTCTAGTAGTCGTTTGATGTTGGCGCCGAAGTATGTATAGAAGGCATTTCGGGCGTTCTGCATCTCCCAACTAACCAGAAGGTCACTAGCGTTAATCAGCCTCGATACATATCCAAGCTAGCTTACTCAAACTAACACTCAGATTGCATGATTGTTTTTGGAAATTTTGTGAGGTCATTTTCCTTACATTCCTAATGACTAAAATACTTTAATTAATAATAAACTAGTGCCTTGCTGACCAGGTTCATTATTATTACTATTAATAATTAGCTAACATCTAATATTAATTAATAATTAATAACAATAATGCGAGATTACTAGGCCAGCCAAATTATGAAACTTGAACTCTGCGTTCCTCTGTCTCATCTTTCAGTAAAATACTAACATGCCATGTTACACAATCCGTCCTAATATGTACAAAACTTCGTGAAGCTTTGCTACGCTAAATTCAGCCTTTAGATCTAAAATTGAGATATTATCACCGTTTCTTATTATTATGAAGAGTAAGTGACTTCGTAATAAATAGTATCACACTTTTGCGTGCTGATTTTCCAAAAATTATCCACCTCGGAGAAAGACGAAGCCAAAATTGCCATTTTTTCACTTTTCACATCTTATCTGCCCTTTTCATGGGCACAGTTCCTGCAGTTCAGCCCCCTCCCGCATTCGCAGTAAGTAAATGGTTCGTAAACTGGGTGGTTGAAATTTGGTCTGGTAAATTTTCAATTTGTTTGTTGTGTTCTACGCCAAGTTAAATCTTCGTTAATCTTCAAAAGTAAACGAATTCTAAGTCGGCGACAAAGTTTTATCCATGAAGTTTTTTCTTACTAATAATGCAAACAGACGAACGACTCGTTGCTTAAAATATATAACTGGAAATATCGCCAAAGAAATTAGAAGACCAATTCTTCACAAATAATTGTCTTATTCTTCGTACTCGTTGGCAAGCAAGAGATGTTTTCACGTAAACCCTCACTATAACCAATCAAACCATTAACTTCCGGAATTAGCAAGCTTTGCTGCATCTATTGACGCGCATTTGATGGTGTACTTGAGAAAGATCCGGCACAAGTTTCTTGAAAATATCACAAACTAGATCTGAATTTGGTAGGAAAACACATAAGAATTTTTACATGACTTGAGAATTCTTTGCCAATCTTTCAAGCAATTTTTCTATCCAACAGACATGGCCTTGGGGTTGCAGTACTCGAAGGTGTCGTCTATGCTGTTGGTGGGCACGACGGCTGGTCCTATTTGAACACTGTTGAGCGCTGGAATGGGAGGGCTAAATCCTGGTCGTCCGTTACGCCTATGGCTGTTCAGCGCAGCACTGTTGGTGTGGCTGCTTTAGACGGTCTGTAAGTTTATGGGTATACGTTCACACATTTTTATCAGCCTAGAAATACATGTAAGGATGTCTTTCGTAAAATCAGTATGGAAACAGACTCGCGAATCTCTGTTCTTCTACGACTAGCGTTCTTTAGTCGTACAATGTCCACGATCTGTCGACCCATCTTTTTGGTTCTTGTGGTCCTTAGCCAAACTGACAGTGTTCCATATCTGCTCAGGATTGATTATCGGTGAAGAATGCTCAACCTTGTTATTCAGTTACTGGTTACTGCCTGCAACCATTTTTCCGGAAAAGTATTCAGTGATATTTCATTTGTATTTCAGTCTCTACGCGGTCGGGGGCCGCGATGGAAGTGCATGCCTGCGCACAGTCGAGCGTTTCAATCCACACACACAACACTGGTGTTTCATCGCGCCCATGCTACACCGACGCGGTGGAGTCGGAGTGGCTGCCGCTGGGGGGCGACTATACGCTGTTGGTGGGCACAATGCTCCACCTAGTCAACCGCATGCGGTGCGGACAGCTAGTGTTGAAATGTACGATCCACAGACTGACATGTGGAGTGAGGTAGCCTCTCTCTCGTCGCCACGTGATTCAATTGCCGTAACAACGTTGGGAACAAAGTTATATGCAATTGGTGGTCACGACGGCCTCGTCTACACGGATCGTGTACAAGTATTTGACCCTGAAACAAACGAATGGTCAGAGGTATGTCAACTTTTTCTTCATTGTCTTGTCGCGGTTGTGGCTGTTCTGAGGCACTCACATCTCATCCATACTGGAACAGTACAACAGTGGATTTGATCCAGAGCTGTGTTCCATTGATGGTTGTCGCTAGATCAAATAAGATGTATGTACTGTGATTTCACCTGAGACGCCCCGCGCAACTTTTTCTTCACACCGCTGGAAAAGCAAATAGTGCGCTAGAAAACTTGCGTCAGAAAGTTATGGCACAGTCGAATTTACATGCTACTCATGTCTTCGAAGAGACGGGTGATAAGTTGCGCTTTCGGCTTCCAAGTCTCTGTAAAGGACATTTTCTGTCTTCCTCATCCTACTGTTAAACCAGAGCTTAGCATGTATGCATGCATTTAATAAGAGCAAAGTAGTAGAAGACAGCGCAGTTTTCTCTTAAGCTTTGGTTTCAACGAGACTAGGAGAAATTGGTAGTCTTCCTGATCTAAGCCACATTGACGTGATATCCAACCACAATGATATCCCCCGCTGCATACTTTTCGGTCCGATTACCTGAGTTTGCCATACAAACGAGAACTGCAGTGACGTCCAGAATACCGGCTTTCTTCTAATAACCGTAATTCTCAGGAAATTCTGAGCATTTTTTTAATTTGGTTTGACTTTCTGATTCGTTGAAACCCTCGACAAGGAACAGTTTGTTTTTGAATGGTCTATCGATAGTACTGAGTAATGAACTACCATCGAAAGCTGGACGGATGAAGTGGATGCCTCGAGTTAGTGCACAAGGACTGCTGCAGAGAAGTAGGTTCACTGTCTCAGGACAGTATCATTTACTGGGGCAGAAACAAAGATGATTATGGTACGCGCAAAAATGTTCGTATGAAAGTATCCGCCAGACGAAAGCGGTATCCACTGGTTGTAAACACCTGCAAATATAGGTCTGACTCGATTCACCGTAAGTATACAATAGATTTCGGTGGGGCTATTCTAGAAGGAATAAAGTCACTGGGTGGATTATAACGTTCTACGCGTGAAATTAACATGCAGTTCTTGCACATTTTGCGTGCCACTGAGAAAGAAACCGATAAGTGAAAAGTTCCAAGGTGCACCACTCATATAGGCCATAGTGGTTCCTCGGCATCCTAGATCACAGTACAATATAATCATATATCTTGAATTTGGCCACCCTATGTGAGCTACATAAAGGATTAAAAGACCATCACACTATTATTTTACAAATAATGGGTTGTATTTTACCCGGCCAACTGCAAGCACTGTTATTTGACAGGACATTTCTTATGTCAGCCGAAAAAATGAATTTTTGATTGGAAGGGTACTTGGCCTGTAAAACGATAGGAATATTGGGTAATTTCACACGCGTTTCGACCTGTTCATCTGTTTCTCTTTTTTCAGGCAGCTTCACTTCCCAGTGGCAGGGCTGGTGTTGCAGTCGCTTCAAGTCAACCTTTCGGTCTGCTTGTCAATCAGACCTCCCGACTGCCTTATTACAAAGCTGATCCACTTGCCTGAGAAGTTGGTGCACGGACATTTGGTGGCTACCTTGGTTGACCAAGCAAATTTCGGATGGCTCATTGGTTATCGTCTTTTTTCGAAAATGGGCAAATCAGTTTCATTTACACCCAGTATTACAGAGTTTGATTTGTTTCATGTTCACGACGGATTTTAAAATATTCCAGTCGTATTTGTGTACACACTGCTATTCCACGATTTACATTTGGCTGCCTGTTTTTAGCGCTTGCCATCGTTTGGTATAGGAATAATTATGTACTATTTGAGATTTTGTAGTCCTTCTCAGCTACCGAGTATTTCTTTTTTTCAAAAAACTTGTTAACAACTAGTGGAAGAAAACTATCCTGTGAGATCCCATCCGCAAAATATAACCGAACGAATGGCAAGCGACGAATGTAGTTCTGAAGCTTTCTCTTTCTGTCCTGGATTCAATTACGGAGAAATTTAAAACGTAATTTGTGGCCAAACACTTCACAAAGCGAATATCGTATCCTCTAGTTGTCGGTATTCAGCTGTGTTTGGCCAGTCGATTGCACAATTTTCCGTCTAATCATCAGCGCGTGTGAGGCGGATGGAGAAAGGAGCTAACAACTAAGCATCTGGTCCCATTTCACGAAATTGACGAACAACAAAGTATAAGTAATGGCCAATGTGTTAGTTGGACAAGGTACTCTGTACCCTGTAACATGAACTGTATATTTTGTACACCGATTATGACGAGCATCTCTAATGACGCCGTCTTAAATTATTATTCCGAATACCTACTGTTGTTTCCTTAAGTAGTGAAGTAATTATGCATTTTCGTTGAGGGTTGCATCGCTCAACACTAACCCGTCATCTATGTCCCTCTAGGTGATCTTCACGGACTTACAAGTTAGAGTCTCGTAATTGGCTTAAACAGCTGCTGATCGCCAACGAGAATAATCAGACGAACAGTGTAGAGGCAAGAAACAACTATGTTTCAGACTGGTTTGTCTGCGATAGTGTTTGTCTTTTACGTCCACAAGCGCAACGTTTCCTCACTCTCTATTTTTTTGACATCTTGTAAAACGAACCCGAAACTATAACCCAACAGCTCTCAGAGGCCCTAAAAAGCACTTCAGACTATCCTCAAAATAAGGCTTGTTCCAGCAGTTCAGAAAAACTACCAGATAGGATAAGAGAACGCATATGCATCTTTTATGGTCTGGTGTCACCACGACCCAGATTCATGACAGCATCTTTGATACACAAACATTATTCGGATTCCGTTGCTGGAAATTATATTATGCTTGCTGAAGGCAGCTTTAAACTTCTAGCTTCTTTTGCGGAGAATTCCATATTTCGTTGGCGGAACACACTAAACATAATTTAGCTGAGAACTCTTAGACAGCCGACGCGTAGAGTTTGCAGTGGAGAAAGTGTATTGTGGTGTTTGTACTATCGTATCAGATGAGACATAAGGTGGCGTTTGTGCAACATAATCATCTGAAGAATAACACTAACGAAATATCATAAACGAGACGTCCATCTGGGTTTCAGGGGAGCCTCTTTTGCAAAATCAAATTGGTTTGCAAGAGGGTGGGTGTATTTCGCTAAAATTACAAATTCTTTACTATTCCACCCCCTACAAGTAAGAGAAAACGCCTTTGTATGACATCTTAATGGCGTGCATTCTAATTCAACCGCTAGTCGTTGGTTTACAGGTGATTTTTCGGTTGTTCTGATGTGCATAGTTGCTTTTGAGAACATCAATTTTACATAACAGCAACCAGACAATCTTACTCGTAACACTCGTGTGTTGTCCTGAACGCCGAACTAACCAAATTTTTGATCCAGCCAACTTTACCTAATTCAGATGTGAGGACTGCTAAGTGGAGGGTGTTCACTGGTTGGTTTTTGACCCTATCGAAGGCCTTTATAAGAATCAAGCCGTTGAGTTTGCATTTCACCGGGGGAATCAGGATGTGGTCGGAGGTTTCCGGAGTCCGGCCACATAATTACTTTGAATCCGATGCGATGGTTTACAGTGCCCGCAAAGCTTATGTTACGGTGGTCCTAGACAGTCTGTATGGACATCAGTGTGAATCATGCGACACAACTCTGTGTAATGTTGGTATTGTGAGGAAATTTGGGAATTTTGTAGAGATATCGTCCTGTTAGTGAAGCTAAGTGCAGTTTGGAATTGCTTTGAAGTTTACTGTCGACGAAACGGATTTTTGACATGTAAAATTCTTCAGGCGCATCCGCTCGAAACACCATTTACGGTATTATAGATTTCTCTGAGGGCTCCATACTAGAGGGTCTACATGTGACTGTATCAGATCATGCTCACTGTATCATTATGATCACTTTCAAAAAATAACTTGTCGTCCATCATAATAGGTTTGTTTCAACTGCTGTTTCAACTGCAAATAATTTCTATAAAGTCATGTTTACGGTAGAACCTGCATATCTATTTTGAAGGAGAAAAGCTTTTTAGTTCCCTCCTGGCGTTTGTTCATATTCAAACGTTGCTTATGACATCGGATGGGCTCTGACATTATCCCATTCGGATGTGACAACACTCGATGCCAAATGTGCTTAAATTCTACGATATCTGGTCCAGTCGCAAATGATCTGTGAGCTGATACTTCGCCGGAAGTCAGATACTTTAGCCCGAATACCTGTTGATGTCAGTCACTCGTGGAATAATGGATGTCTTATTTATGAAATATCATCGTTTATTGTAAAACTTCATAAACGTAGGCTCTTAGAAAACCAACAGTTTAAGCCGTTACGCAATGGCACGATAATTTGTTGACAGAAAATTAATGATAATTACTATTTTCTGAAATGTTTGCCGAACCGGTAATCTATCGTTTCTGCAAACTGCTATCCAATGTGGTCAGATTGGCGACCTTTAATTATGTTCCATGTGGCCTAGGAAATTTTTTTCTATGTCGTTGATCAGCATTACGTTCGTTGAATCGTGTAGCATCTACCCGTTTGGTAAAGAGCGATCATAGTAATCACTAGAGCTTTCGTCCTCTCCGTTAAGCCAAGCTATGCTGAAAAGCAGAGAACAAGCAAACAGCTGTTTCATCTTTGTTGGGAATTATCAACAGTGCCTATCTCAGGAAACTCAGTGAGTTTCGAATCCGCAACTTTCCGACCATTGGTTGAACGTCCAACCGTTTGGTCACGAGTGATTGATCAGCGGTATGATTATCTCGCTTTTGGACGAGATACAGTGACAGTGTATATTTTACTTCCATTCGTTAGGAGGGTCGTTATATCTCGACCTCTGGGTGGGGACACTTTAGGAACAGAACGAAACCGTGCTCTTATTTAGGGTTGTTGCACTTTAGAGTGGAGGTCAAGGTCATTCTTGGATGATTTAAAGATTTTCTGGACATCCACTTTCATGCAGAACCTAGCCGTCTGTCGTCCACTGGAAGTTAGGTATCGCAACATTTCAAAAGATACCCTAGTTCAACAAATACCTCCAATTAAAACAACTTTTTGCTCTTTGGTGTAGCTGATGATACTCTGCAACTTTTCGAAAAAGTGGTACAGTGATATGACTGCTGATGGGTGATGAACTATTTGTAACTAAACGGTATAGTGGATAAGCAAACATACCAAGGCCCAAATGTGGCAATATTTGGTGCCATAGTTTGTGTGTCCTCATCGCTATTAGTCTACTTAGAAACTCGACACAACAAACTAAACATGGACGTAAATTCGAGAAATACACTCATTTGCTAATCAAGTTGGTTTTTACAAGAGACTCAACTGAATCTCTCCTTTATGATATTCTACAACTGAATGTGCTGCACACAGGCCTGCCTGCGCCTACCTGATTAGCCCAAAGAAGGGCGAAACCGGTCGTGGGCTGTCGAAGAGTTTTCAGTAACCTTGTGGGTAGTCTCCTTTATGGATGTAAATTATTTTTTTAAAAACAACGGAATGCTTAACTAAACAAACGTCCTTATCCTATGCGTTTGTCACCAATTTAAAAGTACATGTTAAGGCACGGCTTTTAGTGAATCCGCATTGCTCGCAGAATGAGCGGCGTTGCATGTATTTAATACAAGGTTTTTAACAAATGCACTCTCATAGGCCTTTTGAGTGTCCGTGTCAAGGTCATTAGTTTCAAACTAATTGGTTGGTGACGATATACTTTCCTTAATTTATGATCGAAAAGTGGTATATTCAATTCAACTCTCTCAACTTCATTCTCTGTATGATTCCGGCTCTCAACGCTTGAACTATACACGATGTTTTGGAGTGAGGAATTGTGGGATGTAAGGCTGACCAGAACCAAGGCATCCACGAACCTTTTGAAGATTAGCCTTTTGAACGCATTATTGTATTTCGCTCCTCCGCACAACAAGAGACACTGAATCAAATTCCAAAGAAAGAAGACAGTCATCTAAAATTACAATTCTGTTTGCGTCACCCTAACAAAAAAGCCGTTTTAGGGTAAATCATCCAAGATAAAGTGTGTTTTATCAGTGAAAATGTTTACTTGTTTTTACCGATGGCTAGTTCAGGGCTTTACTCCTCTCACTGTTAGACAGCTTTGCATAAAATCACGCACTGGAGTGGGGTGTATCGCATGAATGTCAGGTTGTGAATAAGAAAACGTCTGGAGGTGACTACAAATTCAGTCCATTACTGACGTCAGCGATGACTTATTTTTGCCACTGCTGACACTAATTGGTGTGTCAAGCAATCAGGCATATATTCTCGGTTGCTGGTAACCTCACGGCCAAGACTGATGGAGCATTTTTTGTGTTTCTTTTGCGTTCTCTTTTAGATAGAGATGTTACACTCAGAAGTAATAGCACAAACAGATTGTCTCCCCTGTTTTCTCCAGACATTCTCAGTCTGGCGGGGCCGCCTTTCGTAAGAAGGGCAGTTTCACCACACCTGCTGCGGTCTTCTATATACGCGAATGCTACATGACATGGATGACAACCCAGGACCGACGGTTCCGGATCTGTCAAATAAAATCCTGCCTCTGTGATGCATTCATAGACTGACCATCAGTTCGCCAAACCAACATGACCGTATCCACACCTTGGTCCTTGAAAAAATGAGGTGAAGAGCCATTGGATGAGCAAATCATTTGACCTTAGATAAGATCTTTCAGCCATACACTCAGAGAAATACCAAATTCGAGTATTTTTCGGATAGCTAGGAAAGTGTCTGAAACTCTTCTATAACTTTTGGTACTCCTCTTGGAGGTCTGTACTTTTCGGAAAGTTCTCAACACTCCAGAAATATGAAGAACAATAGACTGTAAGTCCTGCTAGGGAGTATGATCTTGTAAGTAGTGCTCAAACTACGCAGTCTAATTTGACTTGGGAGTTGTCGTTTTGAATACTATCAAGTGTTGAAAGGCTTCATCACTGGTGGTTTGAAAAAAACCTAGGTTCCATCTAACGGTTCTCTCTTAGGAGATTCAAACTGAGGTGTCCTAATCATTTACTTTACAGGCTACTGTTATGTCCTTGTAATTAACTGCATGAACTTTCTACTTGAGCCATGGTAAGCCTGTGAAATATTATGGAACCTTTTGAAACAGTTACGTTTTGTCTTAGTTTATGCATCGGCAATTGGGAATGAACAAAACGTTCTAATTTAAGTAGTATACTGGGAACAAATATGCATTTCACTAGTATTCTTGGATTATACTAACAATTTTGATGCTATTCTGACCATCAAATGTGTCCTCTGAGTGAGTCGATTCGAACAGGGTTTCCTTGGCTATTTATGAAATGATTTAGCTGCTGTGAATGGTGAAAAACTTTGAAACTTATCGCAGTCAAGTCGGGTTTGAGGCTAGACGAATTGCTGATACCCGCAAGACTACTCTTCTCCACAGAATTCATGGATTTTGCTGCAACCCTCATGGTGCTTTCAACTCGGGCTTTTTGTTCAGTTACCGTCGTGGCTTTCCTGTGGAGATCTTTGAGTGCCAAAATAGAGCCTGGCCCACAATGACAAATAAGTCTCTTACGCAATCAGATTTAGAGACTTCTATGAATTTTCTCGTTGATGTTTGCTGCACAGCAGTTGTTTATGTTCAGAAGCTGTATCAATACATCTAAAAGAAAGGATTTTGAGGCTTCAGAGGTCTCAGGAATACCACGAAGAGAAGAATTACCAGAATCGAAGTATGTGACTGAGAAAAAAGAGACTGTTGACGGAGTGACACACTTTGTATCACACGCATTATTCAGCAATATGTTTTGACGTATTGATTCTCCTCTACAGCAATCGGTCTTACATGCGTTGATTGTCTTGCATAGTGCATCTTATCTCAAATCAAAAGCCTTATTTAAACACTTTGACTTTTCCACATTTCGGCGTACTGCTTGGGTAGTCTATCTGAGTATGATTCGGCCAGGACCAGTCATAAAGTTCAAAATGTGTGGTTTAGCTCTAGTCCAAAGTAGCCTCCCATTGCCACAGTGTAGTTCTAACTGTGAATTCGCGCGAGCTGATATTGTAGTGCACCGTGAAGAAGCCATAACGGTATTCTAACAGGAAAGATCACTTTTTTCCGAGGCAAAATGGTTGGCTCAGTCGCTAGAGAGCATTCAGCATTTGAAGTAAGGTGATAGACTAGTGGTTCTAGTACCTTTGACATTTTTCGTGCGTTGCGTAGTATCGGTCTAACTTTCTGACAAACCGATTTTGTTTTTTTTTGCGTACATCCTTATCGATGAAACTAACACATTGCATTAGATTACCCAAAGATGTGAGATGTGACTGTGAGTTTTTGGGTTTTCTCAAACTTTGGCGCAGCACCTTTGTTTGCAATCATAGTACAAGGAACACTGTACTATCAAGCTCAAATTTATAGAGGCATCACACGTGTCGGATTGTGTAGCTCATTTAGATGTCCAACATCCTCAGGAGCGGCCGTAGTCGATGACGACCAAGCGTTTGTTCGTTTTACATTATCGTCCCAAGTTCTCATCCTGCCGTCCTTGCAAAGATCGGTACGATAATAAACAATACCAAATCTCGTAGGGAGGCACATTTTATTTTGATGGCAGATCATGGAACAGAAGGAAAGCTGACGGTTTTGGACGGATATTTTTCCGGGAAAATCCAAGTTATTGGAGCTCCATTATTTGCTTCGTCGTGCTTGACGCTACAACATTAAAGTCATCTGAATGGCACTCTCGTTTTCCTTCTTGATGGCACATCACGTGACAGTTGGCACACAAGATCAGACAATGTTCTCGAAGATTTCGGAGGCCGTAAAACAACAACAATGGGTCCAGTAAAGTTTTGAGCAAGCTGAGATCAGCAGCAACCTCATTCATCCAGGCCGGAACCTGAAAAAGATAAGAGGGATTTTTGTGTCAGGGACCTGATTTGTTTCATACGTATCTCACATGTTACAAATCGAAACCGAAATACCTGGTGACCAGTGAACTAAACCAAGTGCAATCTATTAAATTCAATTACTTGACTTTCGGCTTTTCAGCTTCGTTTTATCGGAACCTACAGATTGTTGAATCGTTACTCTATCGGTCTTCGGCTCTAATTAAATAAACTATCAAGTAGGTAATCCGAAGTTCATAAAATTTCAGTGTTTGACTCTATGATATCCTGAAATAGTCAAACTAGATACATACTGACAGCTCAAGTTTAGTGTAGAGCACCAGAAGGGTCACGTGGATCTCATCCTCAAAAACAAGTCGATTCTGAAGCAACCATACTTTTCGTAAACGCAGTCTTTCCTTCCATGTCGTACGCTGCTCGTTTTTTGGCTGTGCTCACTACGAACTTGGCATATGAAACTTAACCCTTCTTGAAAAGTAACTCGGCATGCGCGGCACCTACACGGCTGCTGTCTGACATTCAAACCGTTAGCTGATTGGTTCACACGAGCGTGTGACTGCGACGGCCCCGATGATCTCAGGTATTACATCCCCACGGGTCACATCTGTCAACCGTATGAAAACGTTATCTTCATTGTAGTCTGATACATATAATAAAAAACTCAGTAGTACACATTTTTGGCCAATGCTACACTGACATCGCAGATCCGTCACGGAAGGGACTGAAACTCACCGCCGTGTGACGGATTGTGCAATTCAGTAACCCGCTGCCCTGCCCCGGACACATGCGCATGTCCATTGTGTAATAAACTCACCTGTATGCAAGAGAATAGGAATTGACCTTGAAGAACAACCTACGAGTAAAGGGAGGACGTATAGTAACAGTGTGACAACGAATGCCCTGTAGAAAGTATCATCTACTATGTATGTCAATCCAAGTGGTTGCTACGGCGTCAGAAAATGGTCCAGTAACTTGGAATGAAATTAAAAACTCACCTCGGAACATCTACTGCCTGTGTAACTGATGATTTGCCTTACTAATTCGATAAGTATCGTGGTGAGAGAAACGAGAAACGCCTTCCAAATGAATACACATTAGTCCACAATTCACATCAATGCGATGTAATCATATGCGTGCACAAGTTTTTTCCAACATATTAAGCAGTGAATGTGGCCTGTAAGTAAACACATAGTTTTCGTTGATATAATGTGTTGCGTCTAATGTTGACTGCAATCTGTCGAGAACTCAGAACCAGTTCTATTCGGTCTTACCCTCAAATACGGTCCTCAAATTTCACCAGGGTACTTTTCAATTAAGCACAATTAAGCATCTGGTGTTGAAAGTCTCCAGGCCCTGAAACCTAAATAATTTTCAGGCTTCAAACGAATGGGCAACGTGGCGGCTGCCCTGTTTGATTATATTGCTTGCTTTTTGTCTGTATTCGGTACACTGTCTTTTCCTCGTGCAGGCCTATTCACTCGAAATAGATTCTGACTTTAGCGAAATTCGAGTAATTAGTTGCAATGGAAGTTTGCTGTGGAAACTAACCTTAAGCCGGAAGATTTCCAGTAAGTCAAGCAAAACACTCGGAACTGCTGTGAGGCCCAGTTCACACATCACCATCCGCAGGGATCTTTTCGCCTTCGAATAACTGGTGGATCCTTTGAATTTTTCATCACACTTTTGGGATGTTCTTTCACTCGTGTTGTCAGTCGGTGGGGTTAAGGAAGGACAAACTTCAGTGGAAGGTGTTTTGGCAGATGTATTGAGGCTTACTACTGAATTTCCTCTCATAGCAGATTCAGCCTTTCCAATCCAGCTTTGTAGATACCACAATATCCAAATAATCGATAAACTTCCAATAATCTGAATCGATGTTCCAAAAGAGCGAATAATATATGGAATGACTTGTTCTATTTGACCTCCCTGTGCATCAGACGTGGTGTACACGAATGAGAACATTTTCGGTAAAATGGTTAACACACAGTTCAAAACCCACACAATGATACACATAGAAAGTTTATACTGTTGACACAAGGCTTGGCAGCCACAGTTGTGACAAGGTTTGTGTAGAATCATGGCACACCATGATTTTAAAGTGCTGTTGGTTAACTGTCCAACAAAGTGGAATATGCGGATTATTGCACTTTTACAAGTGCACCCCAAAACAGAGGCACAGTGGTTTACTGAAAACTGAGTTTTGTCAATAGTCCGATGATAGATTTGAAAGCTAAAGAGATACTGGAACATGAGACTGTTTGCGAACATCCACTGATGAATACCAACTGCCAGCTGTTTTGTGAACCCTTCATGATCCAACGTGGATAATTGGGAAACAGAATGTAAAGTGGGTACAAGCGCACTGAAAAGTGTGTTACTGAGTAGCCAGTTGGCGACATAATAAGGAAACGCAGGGGAATGTTGCGCACGAGAGTCGGATACAGTGATCTCTTTCGGTATATCCACGTAGGCTTTGTTGGGAGTGGGTTCTCCGAAATTAGGTGTCTTTGAGCCATGCCGCACAGTCTGGTCGACACCGGCACTCTGTCTGCAGCAGCATACTTTAAAACGGCAAATGATAATCTTCATAGAGCCCAACCAGATACTCAGGCACAAGCAACAGTTTAGTGGACCGGCAGTAATCGTTAGAAAGAGAAGCCATGTGATGCGATTCCCGGGTAGAGCTGGTCTATCCGTGATCGATGTGACTGAAAATTGGAAGTAAGCGATTGTTTTGAAATGGGGAAAAACGGTTTGTAATCGTAACTTACTCCATATACCAGACCCAACAAATAAAACCTTCTGGGTGCATAGACTTTTGCTTTCAGTTTTCTACCCTGGACATTTCATCTTTCAACACTACATTTATCATAAATTTCTGAATCAGTCCTGCAAAAAATTTCCATGCAATAATCATCTGATTGGGCCAGTGTACATTTCGCGGTGACATTCACAAAATATCTTCCCGAGTTGACGTTACACTTATCTGAAAACCAGATTCATGTACACCTGAAGTGCACGATACCAGATAATTTCGTTTAACGTTGTGCTTTGTAAAAAGGAATCAGCCTTGAGAGTTCAGGTTCAGTAGGAAAAACGGTAAGCACATGTTCTCTCATCCACATAACCTACTCTGTTTTGTGAATGATTTCCGTCAACTAACTTCAGAGAAGGCTCATCAACTTGTAAGTGATCACAGTTCTTCGTAGCTACTATCTCAGCAAATCTTCATCATACCTATTAATTTATTTGTAGAAGACGATCGGTTGCCGCAAAGTATGGCGGCTCATTTTACCTCTGCGAATGCCGGTTCACTGTCTACCGAGAACGTTGTTCCCATTGACTTGAAGAAATAATTGGAAGGTTTCAAAAATCATTTGCCCGTGATGCGAACTGCTTCTAATGTTTGTGTTCTCGTGACAGCCATCGCACTCGGATTAACGTTTTTAAAGGCACAATAACCACAGGATGCCAGTTGTAATCTCTCAGCAGTAACAACCTTTCGGTGCCCAACTGCCACGCCACGGAAGATTGGTTACATATTGGTTATATGGCCAGCAAAGAATAACCAGGATAAAACTCCAGAATAGCCGTGGCAAAATCCTACAGATACTACTTTCTAATTTATTGGAATGGATACCGGAGACTTCGATTATGCCGATCAGCAGAACTGATTGCATGGACAGATATAGATGGTCCGTTACTGGGCACAATTTTGGCACAGGTATGCCCCCATACTTAATAGGTTATCGTGGCCGTGGGCAATAAATATCCTAAAGAAGTCAGTCTTCGTTCTGCATTTCGACCTTAAACAGAGCGTAGATGTTCAGGAGGTTGCGTAACTGTATGAGAGAGCCTATTTTTGGGAAATTCGAAACATTCAGATTGATGTAGGGGAACCCAAGTGCACAAAATGCGAGCAAAAGGCCGCAATCCCATGAAGAATCACATCAGAACGACTGAAAGTCATGGGCTGCGGTGGGTTGACGTTTTTTGATTCGTTTACTTGCAGACGCAGCAGCAATAGGTTAAATACGACAGAGAACTGGAACACAGACTCACCACAGCCTTGATCAGGTGACCTCTATAAGTTACCCTACAATTGTTCTTTCCATTCAGTTCCTGTATTCATCTCACGTTCGCAACTATCCACGACAAAAATTGCTAACATGTTTGCAGCACTTGTCTTCTATGTATTCTATTGAGTTTCAGTCCCAAAGGAGTTCCAATGTTCCACACCTAGAACGTCTACTTGGAACACACTGCAGTATAGAAACCAAGCATTCCATGAAACGAATGACTGCCCGACATTTATTCGTGGAGCAGTTCTTCCTACAGAAACCGCTGAATCAGTAATTTCAGGAATTTGATTTAGTTAGGCTAGAATTTTTCACGGGTTGCTTTTTGGTCACCATATTACAAATATCTGTGCCCGAACAGTAATAATGCGTTCCTTACTGTTACAAAGCGGCTGATCAGTTCAGTTGATTCATTCAGGCAGCAAAGGTTCCAGACGGTGGCTGAATACAAATGACGTGAACTGGTCTTAGTGACGTATGACTCTATTAGAGTGTAGTGAATGCCAACTGCTGAAGTATAGATCTTCTTGAAAGCAATCGACAGCAGTTTGTGTGATCGTGACACAGGTGAAGCGTCGAAACTTGCAGAAGGTGTTGAAACTTTATTGTGTCTCTCTTCAGTGTGGAGCGAAACGACTCACCATTCCTAGCTTTCTTCGCGCAGTCGGGCAACAGTATAAAAGCTAGCACAAATCATGGTAACCGCTGAAATCTTGTACATCAGAAAACACTTTTTGTGATTAATTTCTTCAAGTATCACTTTAAGGATATATAATTATTAGCAGACGCACGGTAGAATGCCGCACTTGGGGGCGAACATCGAGCTTATCTTAGTGCAAAAGGGAGCGTGGTTTGACCAAAACATTCGAAAACCATTCGACTGTTCAGTCCGACATGAAGTTATTGTAACAGCTAATAGGGATCGTAACAATGGACTTTTTTAAAATACATCTGCCTAAGAAACTAATACATTTAAGAAGCTTGTTTTTGGCTCACACTGCATTGCATGCCGACGCTTTCCAACGAACCTCCCTAGAATTCGGACAGTGACATGAGAGTTGATTCAAATCAAGACCATTCTGAATCAATTTTAGAATACTCTGGTGTTTCATCAGTGCGTCCAATAATGAGTTTGATTATCTCAACAAGGGGAATGAAGGCAACAGAATCAAAACCCGGAGGATACTCAAAGGGGTAGGAAGTGCAATGAATCGAACCAAAATAGGACAGTTGTCATTTTTGTCAACCTAGGCATTAAGGAACGGAACCTAAACAACCCTATGACATTTCGACTCCACTAGGTTACATTTAGAGTAGGTCAATCCTCAAGAACAACCTATTATTTGTGGCCTGTTGTATTAGGTAGTTGATATTCATCACTTTTACAGAAATTGCTGCCTGAAAAAGAACGACCATGTTTTGCTCGTGTAGCTACAGCTCAGATGGCCGAATAAATACTACCCATAAACAACTTTGTATTGGTCATATTCATACCACCCGCAGCCATTTTTCCTGATTAAAACAGCAAGAGCTCATCGAGGATGAAAGGATCTGCTTTAGAATATTCATAGTGACGACCGAAAACCAAAAAGCTATAAACAAAAAGTAACATGGGAAAATTATTAAATTTCCAGCCTAATCAAGCTGGAAAATTCTTAGTACGTGCATAGTCTATCACATGTTATTTTTTGTCAAGCAGCTGGAACATACCGTAACTGAAATTTGATCGCATGGCAGTCCTCGATCAAGCTTATGTTCACAGTTTATATACAAGAGCAGTTGGGTTTATCATGGCTGCCCGGATTAAATGGGTGCGATAGGGTGATAAGGGTCTTATTTCAGCACTAATGTATGTATCGCGCTAGTACTAAGACCTCCCTTGCTCCTACTCCATCAGCATATCTCAATGAGAAAGGACTGTCAACTTCAATAGAGACTTGATCCTCTAGGTGAAACTAATCTAAGCTGAAAAGCTAAGAGGAACTGCACAGCTCTTTCGCGCGTATTTCACGAAGCTTGGTGAGTTTCGGACCCTCAAACGTCCTGTTAGTGGTTGAACAATCAGCCGTTTTGCCACTGCCGGCTGATCAGCCCTCACTAAGACGGGACATAGCGCCACTAATCCTTCTGTCATGAGGAAACATCGCCTGGTCACTTATTGACTGGCTCCTTGACTGATGGCTACTCACACATCTGAACTGATTATTGGTTTATATCAAATTGCGCTCTACGAGCAGCGCTTGAGTTTATGGCAGAAGCAGTAGTTTGTCACGGGAAATATTCTGCATTTTCTTCCGTCATTCGCATAAAGGCTAACTATCATACGATAACAAATCCGCTTCAGATTAAACTTACTTGAGTAAGTTTTGAAGACGTGATCTGTCAGAGACCATTAAATTTGAAGAACGAGATTTTTGTGTTTTCGTCTTTTGCCCATCAGGACTGAAAGTTTATAAACCCGAGAGTGAGTACATATGCAAACAGAATTTCGGTTAGCGAATATACACTCATTTGCAAACTAATTTGGGTTCCAGGCAACTGAATGTGCTGCACCAGGTCGCCTCATGTTTCAGTCGCTACGATATTCGAGACACCGCGATACATGCAGATATGTGTAACGTACTACTCATCAACATCACAAATGAGAGGTTCAGCTGGGTTCCAGGTGAGTCTTTGGATAAACCAAACTAGTTTGCAAATGAGTGTATATTCGCTAATTTCGTGCAATTTGGTTTCAAGTAGAACATAAGGTTGACGAAAACCCGGGGACTGCGCCTACCTGATGAGCCCCAAGGAGGATGAAACCGGTCGTGGGCTATCGACGAATTTTCAGCAACCTTATGAGTAGTTCATTACAAATATATAGAATCTCAGTTATTTTTAGCTTGTGAGAGGCATGCTGAACAAAGACGGAAAACTTTTTTGTTGCTTCCTAAGAACTGAGTCCTGAAGTAACGGAGGTAGAATGAATGTTAACTTGCAAACCTTGGTTTAATATACAGTGGTTCTTTCTGTTATAAAGCCTCGCCGAAAATTTGTACATCTTTCATATCTTGCTTATTGGGGAATCACATGAAATCGTTGACAACATGCGAGTAGCTCAGATTATCTGTACGAAGTTAACGGAAGGGGGTTGTATTTTATAGTGTGTCGGGGACGCACAATGTAAAACATGGCATAATTTCAGCCTCCAGATCTTTCCTTGTTATCAG